CCTGCAAAGACTCAGAGAGGGCTGGGGCCTTGTGAGCTCCTCCCCGTCCATGACAGAATGTTGAAGGCCTTAAGACCGTATTGAGTGAGCTGGTCTTGTGAAGGTAATCAGAGCAGCTGTGCAGTACCCATGGCACGCCCAGTGTTGGACCATCTCAGGGCTGCACCTTGGGATGGTTGCTGTTCCCACAGCAGGTGTTAGCTGAGGCTGAGGGTCTCTGATGGTCCCACGCTGTACTGAGCTCAGGAGGCATCCATACATTTGTCTACTGGGCAATCCTGGCTTCCCTCCAAGCCTGCACCCACCACGGTCTGTTGCACGGTCTGTTAAGGTGACTTAACAAAAGGGGTAGAACCCGGAGTCACTGCGGCTAAGTTATCCAGGACTCCAGGACAGTGACAAAAGGAACAGTGAGACTCAATGGGTTAATACTTCAGAAAATCATTTATACCCGTGGGGAGAATAGAGATTTTTCTCCTATAGTCCCTCAACTAAAACGTGTCTTGTTTTTATTATCTATTTCCTTCTGGTCTTTGTCTGGTTATATAAATATTTGCTGCTAGCAGTAATCATAGCATAGATTACATTTTTTATTATGCTCTTTCATTTAACATTTATTAAAATGTTTTTCCATGTTCCTACATTGTTTTTAAATTGCTTTTAGTTACTATATAATGTTGTATCATTATACCTTATGCCCCATTATTGAATATTTAAGCCAATTTCAATACTTTATTGTTATAAAAGTACCTCAATATGCATATTTGTACAAATGGCTTCCTCTTTCTGTTTCTTTCTTTTTCTTTTTTAAATTTCCTTTAGATAGCAGATTAAATGATTGGGTTGAGAAGTCTGAATATTTTTATTTTGGTACATAAGGCCATTTTCATTATGAAAATAATGGTAGCCATGAACATTGCTGCCAGCCACACATGAACAGGCCTGCTTCAGACTACAGTCTTGGTGGGAGTGAGAGCTATAACGTAAATACTTAGAAAATTCAATAATGACAATTATGAGCCCAGTTTTATCGCCTGTGACCTTGTGTGGTGTTGAGTGAACCATACCGTTGTGAGGTGGTGCTGAGGGAGTTGCCATCTGTATCCTGTGCATCTCTGCTGGCACTCGGTGGTTAGAGTACTGTTCTTGCAGAGAACACCCCCCCCCCCCCCCCCAGCCCGCTGTCGGTTCAGTTCCCAGCATCCATGTCAGGCTGTTTGCCACTACCTATAACTAACTAACTCCAGGAGATCTGACACCTTCCGATCTCACATGCGTGTATCTGACACAGACACACACGAATATATAATTAAAAAATATAAAAAATACCTTTAAAAATGTACAGATACTTCCAGAGGTGTACCCAAATGAATGGTTTGATTTTACATATAGAGGTGAAAATAATTCCACAAATACAAATTTAATATGTATGTATTGCATACAGAGGTGCCCCCACAAAAATAGAAGACTTTATAATGCTTATATGCCAGGCACAGTGCAGAGCACTTGGCCCTTCCCTCAGTAAATTCACACTACTTCTTTCTTTTCCATTATACAGGGAGATAAACTAAGGCCAAAGAGGCCAAGCAACTTACATAGGGTTAACCCACACGTACATTGGGATTTACTACCAGGCAGTCTAGCTCCAAATCTGTGCACTGGCGTCCATACTGGGCCTTCCAGTAGTCTTTGTTCTTCAAATGCGTTCTCTCACTATTTTAGCATGCATGGGGCAATAGATGAGCAAATGTGAGAGACCACACAGACCCTGTCACCTTAGGAACTGTTGCCAAAGACTTTTTGAAGCTGGGTGTTGCTGTTTCATTTTTGTTCTGAGATGCTGTATCCCTGCAGAGGCTGTTTATGGTCTGAGCTCAATGAAAACATCTTTCTCATCAGGGTCTGCTGTTTTAAAAAGTCATGTACAACTTGTAGTTTCATTTGAACCAATGGATCGGAGGTGGTAAACTTCATTGAATACATTGTAGGTGGATTTAGTGGGTTTGAGTTTTGGATACTCAGATGCTGAATAATTAATTTGCATAATTTCAGGTGCCAAACGGGGTGAGCATTTGACTCAGTCTGTTGGCAGGCAGGATGTTTTTATTAGTGGGCCTCCCTCTACTGATTTGCAATTTTATAGATAATAGCAGTCTAATTCTGATCGGAAACAGTAACTGAGGGGATCCATGGAAGACTGTGGCCTGCTACTCCCTGCTTCCAGGCCACACACTTCCAGTTCATTCCAGTGATACCTTAGCCATTAGTCACTTCCAGTTATGGTCTGAAGAACGGGCTGCAGATAACTTAGGTACCTGAGACATGGCCTTTGGCAGTCTTCAGTTTAGCAGGAATGTCTGTTTCAGGATTTCACCTTGAGTTTCAGTGTAGCTGAGTCTGACATCTTTAGGTTCTCTGTGAAATAAGGAGCTGTGAATCTTCGTGGACACTCGTCCCCCAATGAAGAGGCGATAACTACCATGCGTGTAATGGTTAATATTGTCAACTTGGTGGAATCTAGAATCACTTGGCGGCATACCGGTGAGGGCTATCTAGATTAGGTTAATTACAGTGAGGAGATCTACATTAACTGGGGGCAGTGCCATCCCATGAGCCGGGGACCTGGTCTGAACAAAGAGGAGGAAAGTGACATGAACAGAAGCACCCATTGCTCTCTGCTTCCTGACTGGGGACACAGTGTGTCTAGCTGTTTCCTGAGTCACACATTCCCTTCCATGATAAATTCTGTCCCCTAGAGCTGTCAGTTGAAACAAACCATCCTTAAATTGATTCTTTCCGGTAACTAAAACATTGAGTGAGTGTGGGGAATGGAGGTGTCAAGGTCGCCTGCAAGAATGTTAAGTCGGGTCAACTCGAACTACTGAAAGTCAGTATTTGATGTAAGCATTTTTGCGTGACACACCATCTGCCTTGAGGAGTCCAGGCTCCTCAGACAGGAGTTAATTGAGCCCATCTTCCTGCTGTGTTTATTTCAGGAGTCTGAAATCAACTAGCATTATGCAGTTCACCCGTCCCAGAGAACAGGCTGGTTGCTTGGTATAAAAGGCAATTTTATTCATAAAATCGTATCTGGTTCTCTTCCCCCTTTTAATTTTTAAATTTGTTTTTTGGTTGGTGTACAAAGAAATGGGTTCCATTCATAATACACCATTAAGCTTTGCTCTTATTTGCGCCTCTCACAGTCCTCACAAATAGCTCCGTCTCCCTTGTTGCTATTACGAAGCCCACGCTTACACAAAACATACTTCTTCCTCCTGAGTGCTAGCATCATAGGCATGGACCAGCACATCTGTGGATTACGGTGGTTTGCTAAGATAGCGACCTAGTTCTGAAAAGACGAGTCCTCTTTTTCTCACAGGACTTCCCTCCCTGTTGGAGCACCTTCCCATCGGAGGCAAGCAAAGGCAGCTTGATTGAGAAGCGCAAAACCATTTGCAGGGCCAAAAACTAAAGCCACTGAGGAACTATATGTTACAACTGGTCCAGGGAAGATTGACAGAGAACTTGGCCAGTGGAGCAGGGGCTGGATTTGACCCTGACTTGGGGTGAACCGGTGGTTACCAGGACAAAATCCACATCCTCTGACCTCAGAGGAGGCTCACTGGAATCTTAGCATGAGAAGGGGGCTAAGCTGTCTAGTTCAGGTAAATTCCACCACACTCAGTGTGAGGTAATCCCAGCGCAGAGTGTGTTTATTTCAGTTTTCCACTCTGTGTGGACCGCACCTGTATCTGCTCTCAGTGACAAGCACACCAGACTTGTTCTTAGTTCAGCAAATATTAACAACTCCTCCTGTTCACTGTGCTCTCTGTGGTGCAGATGACCCTCAGGGCTCAGTTTAGCCATTGCTGCTTTGGGGAAGCCCACCCTCATCTTCCAAGTCTAATGTCTCTTACTCAGGAACCATCCTCTTTTCTGGTCCCTGTGTCTTCATTAGCATATGTACTTTTTGAGGTTATAATATAATTACATTTCTCCATTCCCTTTTCTCACTCCAAGCCCCTCCCATTATACCATACCTCCTTGTTCTCTGAATTCATGCATGGTCTCTTTCTTTCCTTAATTGTACGTGCTTATGTTGATGTCTGCTCATAGATACTCTGTAGACTGCTGCTCATATGTGTGCCTTCAGGACTGGCCAGTGGCGGTTGGGGAACCACTTGGTGAGCTCTTCCCTGGGGAAGACTTTCTTCTGTTCTCGGCAATCCATAGTTGTCTGCAGTTCCTTGGGTGGGGTTGAGTCCCCGCCCACTTTGGCATGCCTACTCACATCCCCCTTGCTCCTCTCATGTTTAGGCAGTCGGGCTGGTGAGATGCAATGGGTGTAGCTTCTGACATTGGTAGGAGACACAATCTCACAGGAAACTCTGGCTCCTACAATCTTTCTGTCCCCGCTTCCATATATGTATTTTTTAGACAATAATTATGCATGTTCTGCTCTTAGTTGTAGTCCCAAAACAGCATGAAGGTGAGCGCTCAGTATGTACTTAATGTGGACTTACATTTGCTGGCTGGCAAACTCTGAATGTTTGCTTGCAGCTGGTTCAATGGGCTGTAATAGGTTCAGTCATTGAAGAAGTGACCTTGTAAATGACAACTCCCTAGTGACCTGCAAAGATGGCAGTTTGTGCCGATGCTGGCAAAGTCTGCAAAGAACAGTAGTCTATTTCAAGAGGTTTCAACCTTTTTTGTTGTTGTTAAGACAGGGTTTCTCTGTAGACCAGGCTGGTCTTGAACTCACAGAGATCCACCTGCCTCTGCCTGCCTGCCTGCCTGCCTCTGCCTCTCGAGTGCTGGGATTAAAGGTACACCCCCACCACCTGGGGGTTTCCACCTCTTGATTGGTTGTCTGGTTAACTGAAAAGAGCCCACGATAGCCCAAAGGCTAAAGTCACGTGACTAGCCCACAGGCTGACTTTAGAGTAGTAGGTCTGGAAACTGGATTCAAATGCTCACTAATCATCTCTTGCCTCCCCCAGCACTGGAAGACACAGCGCAGTGAGGAGTATGAGGCAGAAGGTAAGAGAGCTCAGGGGTGGATCGGGGGCTGCTGAGGAGGGAAGGCCCGGGCTACTGTGGCCAAGGCACTCTGCAACCACTGTCCTGCTTCTTGTCCTGGAAGCTAGCCGAGCATTGGCATTAGGACCAATGGCACCAGGAAAAAACAAAAAAGATTCCCAAGTGACTCTTCCAATTCTAGCTATTAATGTTGTGTGAAAGATGACTTCTTAGGGTGTCTATTGCTGTGAAGAGACACCATGACCATGGCAACTCTTACAAAGGAAAACATTTCATTGTAAGCATGGCGGCACGCAAGCGGACGTGTTGCTGGAGAGGTAGCTGCTAGTTCTACATCTAGATCTGCGGTAGGAAGTGACAGTGACACTGGACAGGCTTGAGCTTCTGAGACCTTAAAGCCCACCCCCTAGTGACACACCTCCTGCAGCAAAGTCACGCCTACTCCAACAAGGCCACGCCTCCTAATAGTGCCATGCCTATGGGCCTGTTGGGTCCATTCAGACCACCACAGCATCTAATATGTAGCAGCCCCCTTACAGACCAGTTACTCTCTGTCCAGACTCCCAAAGGAATTTGTGAATATCCTCAACATAAATAGTAAGCCTATTAGGTACATCCTTTGCAAGTGTCTAGTATTTATCATCCTCTTGAAGCAGAACATATTAATCCTGTGGCCAGCAGGTGGCACTGTGGTTCAGTGGCGGGAGCCCTTAGCTTGCTTTTCTGCTTAACCCCAGATGAGCTGTACTTGAGTATAATTAAAACAATGTGTTCTCTGGCTCTTCAACCTGGACTAACAGGGCAGTAATGGGTTTAATTTCTGTCAATAAATAGCACGAATGACACCAAGTACTCCTTTCAGTCCGCCATGGTTCTTCCAGGTACATAAAATAGTGTCCGTAATTATCCCGTGTCTAATAATGACTCCATGGGCTGTCTCACATTAATATTGCCGGTTTAGAAGCAGGATGGTTAATACAGGTTAAACAGTCTTGTGTTTCAGTGCATAGTTGGATCCTGTCTTTAAGCAGATCTTATCTTTCAGCTATAGATACTAACAAACTTGCAGCTTGCCAAGTTTTCTTTCAAGTTGCATTCTTGGGTTTCTGTGGGTCAGGAAAATTGGGGGAATAGATGAATCTTAAGAGGCTCATTATGATTGCTTCCTTCCCAGGAAAAGGTGCCAAAAGGCTTAGACCAGAAAGAAAACGGAAATAAAAGATTCTGGAAGCCTCAGCAGAGGCATTTGACCTTGTATATGCATATTCATGTGAGATAATGTTCCTTTCTCATGGGTGACTGTCCCAATTTATAATGGGACTTGAGTTCCAATCAAAGTGGGATCTATATTTATAGTTGTCTCATACAATGTACATTTGGGGGCTGGAGAGATGGTTTAGTGGTCAAGAGTACTAATTGTTCTTTCAGAGGACCTGGGTTAAATTCCTAGTACCATCTGGTGGCTCACAACCATCTTTAACTCTAGTCCCTCCATGGGTGCTATATATGTGTGGTGCACAGACGTACATGCAAGCCAAACAGTCATACATGTGAAAGTATAAAAACAATTGAAAGAATTACTTTCCAAAGGGGCGTTTTCCGTAACAGGCACTGTTCCTGTGCTTTTGGAGACAGCACAATATATGCTCTCGTTTTAGGTCAGCTAAGGTTTTGGAACCCAGATGACCTGAATGCTTCACATAGTGGGTCTTGCCCTCCCCAAGACTGGATAGAAGAGAAACTGCAAGAGGTTTGTGAAGACCTGGGGATCACTCGAGATGGTCACCTAAACCGGAAGAAGCTGGTTTCCATCTGCGAACAGTACGGATTACAGAATGTGGATGGAGCGGTAAACCCAGCACTTTGTTCTGATTTGGGGATAATACTGTGGCTTCCTGTTTAGAGACATAACCTTCTTTTTTCCTAGGAAGACATTCTACTCGTACACCCGTTTCCTCTTTGGGAAAGTCATGTTCTGTGACAGAAACCCAAGCTGATGTAGCTGAGTTCTGAATATATAATATGGTCCCCTACTGTGCATGTCACCTCATCTGAGATAGCCAGACAAGCTGAATGCTGCAGCAGAGAGTTGTAGAAGCATCAGCCAAAGGAGTAAAATGTGAGGAAACATGGAGGGAGAAAAAGGAAGCATCACAGAGTGCAGTTAGAGCATTTTGAAGGCCAGGCTGCTGAGTTTTCAGTTTGGGGAAGATCTCAGTGTCATCCCTGGGCCCTTAGGTAGACTGAGTGGTGTGAATGGGACAGGTGGCTTCACCAGTGTGCGGTGAGCCTCAGCCATGAGGAAATGGGGTCCGGTAGGCTGGTGGTTTTAAAAGCACACAGAGAGCTCTTGATGTTAAGATTCTGCTTTACGTTTTTCTGAAGAATCGAGAAATCTCCAGGATTAGTATGTGAACAGCCGTGAAGCACAGAAAAATGCATAATATAAGACATGTCTTTCAGAAAGCTTCACATAAAGCTTAGGGGGACCTAGAGGTTAGGGGCACAGGCATTGCTCCAGAATCCCTGACTCTACTGATATTTGACACCACCCTGGCCGCCTCTGTGGGGGAAAGTGGTAGCTTGTTCTAACCCAGGAGATGGATCATTAAAGGTTGCCCAGTAGCCTGCCTTGCACGAAAGTTGGTTTTTGATTTTTTTTTTTTTTCTTTTTCTTGTCTGATGTGACATTACATAAATCCTCTAACAGCCTTCATAATATCCCGGTGCTCATTAATTTTTCAACAATGGTATTGAGTCATAAAATTAAATTAATTGTCCTAATTTCTGAACCAACGTGGTACAAAGAGCCTTGGGTTGTTTGGGGTTTTTTTGTTTTCTCACCCGAGAGACATTGCACAAACTTGAATTATTGACCTGAGGACAATCCTTGGAATATAAACCGCAGAGGCTCACAGGGTGCTGGCTTGGTTTTCTTCTGCTGGGCCCTCCTGAAACCTGAGATGACACTTTCATTTCTTTCCCAGTGCTAAGCAGACTGGGAAGGCGTTGCTCATGGAGCATGTTCCTGCTCAGTGTTTCCACCCCCTCCCGCCACGAGGAGTCAGGAGAGGCCCTGCACGCCGTGCCCTTCGCTCTGAACTGGAGTGGAGGTCAAGCTGCTGTTATTAGCGTAGTACTTGGGATCCTGGAATTTTACACCTGAAAGCAGTTTTACAAAGGAAGCCAGTGAGATCAGTGACACCCCGTTTTTATGAGACGGAACTAGATGTGTTCTCGGCTGTCATTCACACCCACCTTCTGTAAGTGAGGACAGTGAAGAGGGCAGGGCTGGCAGAATACCTCCCTCGGGGCCACATCAAACCCAAGGATGACTTCATTTGACCTGTGCAGGGTTGTAAAAGTTGAACTTTGAGGCACACTCTTTGAAACTGGAAGTTTTCCCTAAATATTTGCAATAGCAAGCCACCGCCGTCATCTCTGGAGACCACAGGCAGCCATGTGCTGGGCTAGCTCAGTCCCCACCACTTGCTTCCTGATGGCGGAAGCCTCCATGCCTCGGTCACTCCTATCATCTTCCAGGCCCCTGTGGGTGTCCCAGTTCCTGGACCCTATTCTGGTGCATATTTCTTACCCTACACAAGGAGAAGTCAGCCATCCACAAACATGGCCAGTGTGGCCATGAAATGTCCTTGTTCTGGAGGGGACCCCTGTTTCCAAAGAGGGCGGGCATCTCAGTTGCTCATGTAATCAGCATTCTCTTGAACTCAGTCCTGACCATCCAGCTCTTTGTAAATTCACACCCTTTTACCCGCCATTTCTTATCCCAAGCTCTGACTGAAAATGACTGCCAAGAGTCTACTACTCCAGCAGTTTGAATGGATTAAGTGACGAGTGTTCAGGCCACCTAGAAACTGCAGATTTGGCCAAGGTCAAGAAGTATGGGTATACTCTGTTGGTATGTCTGCATTTCATAGACACTTCTGGTTGGATGGTTCTCAAAGCCACTTCCTCTAGAATATAGTTCTTTTGATTGGTGAGAATGAGACAGAAAAGTTGAAGGCTTTTGGCAGCCTGAGCATCTCGTCTCACATGCCACTGATCGCAAGATCAATTATAGAACCCATCATTTTTTCCACAGACTTTCATCTTCCAGAAAAGTTTCCTTGTCTCAGAATCCTTTCCCAAATGAAACATATGTCTCCCGTGAATTTGTTAAAAGCCATTTGGGAGCTTGTTAGCAATACAGTCTCAAGCCTCTCCCATAGTGTACCAAAGCAGTGCATATTGCAAGATCTCTGAGTGGTCTCTGCTCTGTTCCTGGAGGCCTGTTCCATAATAAAGTTTGGTCACACAGAGTGAGGAGTATCTCAGTAGGAGGCCTCTGTCTTTTCTCCCGCCTGTGACTTCTGTGATTCATGCCAGTCTTTCCCCTTTCCCATTCCTGTGGGACTAAGGAGCAAACAATCCCTCTGACAAGCCTCCACATGGGCTGTGGTCCAATAATCCTGTTCCCTGTTATCTGATGGAAATTATATGATGGCCATCAGAGAGTCAAAATTTCTTCATCTTTCAATATATTGAGATCCTCCTTTTGCACACACTAGATCATCCTCAACCAGCCGTAGTCTTTTCTGGGCTAATGCATTAAAACATAACTTTAACATGTTCCGAGGAACATCAGTGCTATCTGTCCCAGACCAAATTTGCCCTGTTAATATGCTATTTGAGTTTCTTTTTCTGTTGCTGTAATAAAACGTCCTTGGAAGGGGGAACTTAAAGGAAAAAGGGTTTTATCTTAGTTACTGTTCTATCGCCATGACAAAACATCACGACCAAGACAACTTATAAAAGCATTTCATTGGAGGCTTGGTTACAGTCTCAGAGGGCAGGGAACACGGCAGCAGGAGGCAGGCAGGCAGGCAGGCAGGCAGAGAACTGGAGCAGTAGCTGAGAGTTTGCATCCTAATCTGCAGGCATCAGCCAGGGAGGGAGGAAGCCTATACCTGAGATGAGCTTTTGCAAACTCAAAGCCCCAACCCCAGTGACACACCTGTTCCTATACAGCCACACCTCCTAATCCTTCCTCAACATTTCCACCGTTAATGAAGCATGTGGGGGTGGTTCTTATTCAAAGCAGCACAGGTTTATTCTGCTCCATCGTGCAAGGCACAGTCCATCTTGGCGTGGAAGTTAGAGCAGCAGGGACTAAATCAGTTGGTCATACCACATTCATAATCAGGAACAGGTAATGAATGAATGCATGCTCCTCTTGGATAGGCCAGGATCCCAGCCACAATGGGCAGAGCTTCCCAGTTCCGTTAAAGCAATCAAGATACCCGCCCCCACCCCAGACATGCCCAGGGGCCTCTCATGTTCATGTTCTTCCAAATCCTGTCAAGTGAACTTTAGCACTAACCATCATCACACATGACAATTTCAATATCAGCCAGATATCAATCACTTAGAACCACCACGTTTTGAAGGCATAGCAAATGTCCAACTAACACCTTGTTAGGATTATGAGCTATAGGTATTAAGTATTTTTTTAGTTTATAATAATAATACCAGTAACATTTAAGGCTGCCTGTCCTGGAAAGATGAATGAGAGGAAGAAAAGTTGATTGCTAAACTGTATACTATTATGGAGATGATGAAAATGGACTTTTATTTTGCTTGAGGGAGGACATCATTTCTGGAGAGGGGAATTCTCTCAGATGTGACTAGAGACAAAATTGTGTCTGGAGTCTTAGAGTCAACAGTGGGATGGATTTCTACGGGCCAGAAGTACATTGCACACGTGGTATTTGTGTGTGTTTAAAACACGGATTGCTCTTCCCTAGATGTTGGAGGAGGTCTTTCTCGGTCTTGATCCTGACGGTACAATGAGTGTAGAAGACTTTTTCTATGGTCTGTTTAAAACCGGGAAATCCCTCACACCATCAGCGTCTACTCCATACAGACAACTAAAGCGGCATCTCTCTATGCAGGTGAGCCATCAGTGTGCAGAGGCAGGTGTGGTGGTGCACACCTGTAATCCCAGCTCGAGGGAGGCAGAAGCAAAAGCAGCAAATGCAAGCCAGAGGGTAGAGGGGCTACTTAGTGAGACCTCTTAGGAAAGAAAAGTCAGCAGAATAGTTTCCACCAAAATGTGTGTTAAAAACACATTTAGTAATTCTGGGTGAATTGATCTGTTGTCTAAAGCAAAATACCAAGAAGAAAAAGTATTTTTTTTTTTCTAAAAACTAACTTATTTAATTGTATTTTATGTGCACCAGTGTAAGAGTGTCAAATTCCCTGGAACTGAGTTACAGACAGGTGTAAGCTGCCATGTGGGTGCTGGGAGTTGAACCCAGGTCCTCTGGAATGGCAGCCAGTACCCTTACCTACAGAACCATCTCTCCCGGCCCAAGAAAAAGTATTCTAGAGAATGAGAAAGACTAAGCCATTCAAAGGAAAGGCAGTTTGAGTAATGACCATAATTTACAGAGTGTGAAAGTCACTAATTAGGCCTCTTGATGACAGTGTGGGGTAGGAGAAACCTGGTATCAAGTAGACATGCATCTCATCTATGACCAACTCTCCAGAACAGTTCTCTCTGATAAGCTGGTAGACTTGACTTACTGGGAACCACAGATCAAAGGCACAGCATGGCTCCCCTACTCCCACCTGCCCCCCCCACCCCACCCCCACCCCCAGCTGTGTAAACTAAATTCTGCCAGGACTAGCAGTCCCAGTCTTAACCAGTATCCAGCTGACTTTCTGGGGCCCACCTTAGTGTGCTTAAGACTCTTTCTTCTTCCAGTCTTTCGATGAGAGTGGACGGCGGACCACAACCTCATCAGCCATGACAAGCACCATTGGCTTCCGGGTTTTCTCCTGCTTGGATGATGGGATGGGCCAGGCATCTGTGGAGAGGATCCTGGACACCTGGCAGGAAGAAGGCATTGAAAACAGCCAGGAGATCCTGAAGGTGTGGCAGCTAAACTGGCAATCCCAAGGAGGGGTGTCACTTTATCTTTTGAAAAGCATTTGACCTGATTTTCCCTGAATGACTTAATGTGTGTGAGATCTCAGAGACAACTAGGTAACTTTTCCTGCCTGCTTGAACCAGAAGCCTGTGGCTGAGTAGGTCCATGTTTTGTTTGTTTGTTTCTTTGTTTTTAATCTCAAATCATTGACATAAGAAAGATCTTAGCCAACCGTCTGTTGGTGGAGTTTGAAATTACATTACCATGTTTGTTTACAATGTTAGGTGGGATTTCATGAACTACAAGCTTGGTTTCCATAGGAAAACCAGGTTCTAGGAGAATCTGTTCCTGAGAGGGGCACTGCTGGTATCTAGGCTCGTTTCAGAATTATGCACCCTCTGCACTCTGTGCTTTTTGAAGCTGGGGCTTGTCATTTGTTTTGACTCTGTCCTACTCTGATTCCCAGGCCTTGGATTTCAGCCTGGATGGAAATGTCAACCTGACTGAGCTAACGCTGGCTCTTGAAAATGAACTTTTGGTTACCAAGAACGGCATCCACCAGGCAGCTCTGGCCAGCTTCAAGGCTGAGATCCGGCATTTGTTGTAAGTTGAGCAGAAGGTTTGCCTGGTGCATTCCCTTGACAACTTGTCTTTCATGCCAGCATCACCGGGTGCCCCATCCTTCCCGTCTAACTGTTCAGCTGAGGCGTAGCCAGCTGGGGCTCTGATTGACTGGGTTTTTGAAGGGAACCGTGGAAGGCATTTTTGTTTGGGGAAGGTTTTGGTTGTCTTGGTTTTGTGTTTGTTTTGAAGCGAGCCAGATGAGAGCTTTCTTGGGTCTCCTGGTAGCTTGGAAACAGCCTCCTGCTAATTCACTTGATTTCTAATTCTAGGGAACGGGTTGACCAAGTGGTCAGAGAGAAGGAGAAGCTGCGGTCGGACCTGGACAAGGCAGAGAAGCTGAAGTCTCTGATGGCCTCTGAGGTCGACGATCACCACGCAGCCATTGAGCGGAGGAATGAGTGCAACCTCAGGTGTGGTCAGAAGGGCGAGGTCAGGGTCCTTCCCCAGCACTCAGAACCCCCCATTCTTCCCTCTACCGCCAATCCCTCACCCATCAGAGCAGAGTGGGCACAGAGCTAGGGGCCGCAGAAGTGTGGCCCAGCCCCTGGGAAGGCAAGCCACTTTAGGCATTGTCTCAGTGCGCTTCCTGAATCTGCACCTCCCTCTCCGGTTTTGGAATCTTCAAATACTGTCCCTCCAGGGGATCTAAAGGCCACCTATTGATTTGTCCTTTGTCACAGGAAATTGGATGAGGAATACAAGGAGCGCATAGCAGCCTTAAAGAATGAACTCCGCCAAGAGAGGGAGCAGATCCTGCAGCAAGTGGGCAGGCAGCGGGTGGAGCTGGAGCGGGAAATTGAAAAGGCCAAAACAGAAGAGAACTACACCCGGGACCGCCTTGCCCTCTCCCTGAAGGTAGACTTTCCTTTAGCTCTGTGGCCTGGATCCATGCTGGGTATCCACCCAGAATGCTCCTGCACTCCAGGAGCACAAGTCTGCACGGGGCTAACCCAAGGGTTCTCACTGTCATGGCCAGGACATGGTGGTAGCTTTGCTAGCATTTGGGGCTGTATGAGGCCCAGGGTCTGGTATGTGGATGATGTTGATGAATGTAGCGTGTTCTTCCCAGCTGCCTTTACAGCTGTTCCTCAGGACTGGGTGGGGCCTGGCCGACATCTTCAGTCCATGGCTGCTCCCTAAACCTGTCCTCATCCTCAGCTTTGCTTTGCCCATCTTGCCTGTCCTCCATCCTCATCATCTGTGCCTCCAAACATGACTTTCCTCTTGCGATCCTCCCTTCCCCCCAGTGGAGGAAACTTCCCTTCTGTTTTCTGGACTCGCATCCCAGATAGTATTGTGCTAGGCCTCTGGTACCCACAGGAAAGCCTTGGGGGAAGTTACTCAAGCCTGTTTCCTAATGTATGGATGGACACAGACAGAGTAGCTCTTTCTCCTTACCCTGGTGTGGTTAGCATATCAGATGGTACAAGTAAGGTGTACGAGAACGACAGGTACGAGGGAAATAATCTGTTCCCGTTGTTAGGATGAGGTGCCCCTCAGGTCCACACAATAATGGAGGAAAGGCTGAGGTAATGCCAGTCTCTGCTGTCTCCTGGCTTGCCGTAAGTCCCTGAAGTTAAAATTCCCAGCCATCCCCACTCATTACCACTCCTCTCTCTTTGCTGCTCTGAAATGCCTCTTAGACAAACCCCTGTATTTCCCCAGCCTCCGATTAGTCTCCAAATTCACCATGGCCCTTTAGGTGATAATGTGTGCTCTAAACAGTCCCTTTCCTCCATGTCTCCATCAGAGTGAACTTACATGCTGGTACCTTTGGTTTCAAAATAGAGTTAGCCGTTAAGGGAACTGCCAGGGTCTATAACCTGGGTTCCTGCCAGCTATTCCCAGTGTCCTGGCCCTCTCACTGCACCTTCCATGAGCTCTCTGCTCCTCCTCTACGCTCATTTTGCCATGTCCCCAACCCCATGGGCTGCTTTACCTTTCCCTTCCCATTACATCCCCTTTCTTGTTATTAGGAGATTGTGCCTCTATTATTGTATCGGTTTGTGCCCACCCCCCGCCCCATGCCTTCCTCCTGTGGTCCACATTGTCTCTTACGCTCAGTGGCAGTATGTGATTTGGTACCCAGAGCAGCAGTGAGTGTCTGGAATGCAGGGTTTGCTCCTATCAGTTCATCGTCTAAGCGTGGTTATTTTTTCAGAGACTAAAATAATAGAGTTTGTGTTTTAGGAGAAGGTAGTTGTTTGTTTTGTTTTTCAAGACAGGGTTTCTTTGTATAGCCCTGGTTGGTCCTGGCTGTCACTCTATAGACCAGGCTGGCCTCGAACTCACACAGTGCTGGGATTAAAGGCGTGCACAACTACCCTCCCCCAACTAGGGTTTTTTTTTTTTTTTTTTTTTTTTTTTTATGCTTTAAGTACTTTTTTTTTTTTTTAAACTCCATATTGCTATGTGAGAGTGTGAACTAGAATACATTAAAAAATATATTGGCTCCATATTCTTTTGGCAAAATGAACTTGGAAAATAACATTCTTCCAATCAGCCCTTAACACTGGAGAAGAAAATATGTCAAATGGCAAGTCTGTATTCCTTTTTATTTTTTTTTCAAAAAACAAATGTGGGTGAAATCTTCCTAAAATGTGCTGTGAAAAATCTTCTTTTTCTTTTTAATGGAAAAAAGGTTTGTAAGTTCCAGTTGGTGTGTCATTTTATTACAATTTGCTTGTACATATAAGTTATGAACCCTTTATGTGTAACTTCTGTTTCTTAAAGCAAAACTGACTTTGGATTTACTCCGTTATAGTCCTTCTGAGTCTCTGGCTATAGCTAGACAAGGTGTCTTTATAACATTAACTTGTTTGGTGGGGGCACACAGTGACAAGAGTATCTGGAGGTCAGAGGTCAACTTTCAGGAGTCAGCTGTCACTTTCCTCCGTGTGGGTCTTAGGCCGTCTACTCAGTTTGTCAAGCCTGGTGGCGGGCGAGTGCCTTTACCCACTGAGCCAGCTCATGCTGCCCTAGCAAAGGTATTTGTAATTGGTTCTTTATGTGCAATAATTCATCCAGAATATGTCATTTAAAATACTCCACTGTGATGCTGTATAGAAAGAAAATAAGACAACGTATGGACTTTCCTTAAAAAAGAAAAAAAATGCATTGCTGTCAAAGTAAAATTTTCATATTAAAAAATAATATCCACTTTAAAAAGTGAAATTAATTTCAAGTCACTTAATTCAGTGTCTACAAGGCATTGGCATTTTGGAATGGAACCAGTTAAAAGAAATCACTCTGAGCTGTGTTCTATATTTGTAGCTTACTGCACGGATCCAGTGTGTATTTCCTTCTGATAGCGTATGTCTCCATTGGTTCCAGATGTATTCCAAATGCTCAATATTCACCCAGGCCTGTGAGTAGCTAAGATGGGGAGCAGCACAATTTTATAAGGTTCTCTTTAAAGCCAGACTTTCAGACCACGAGCTAGGTGTCCACTTTTTAATAATTGTTTTGTTTCAGTTTCCTCCAGCTTTCATGATAAATGGGTTTTCTTCATCTCAAGCCTTGCCTTGGTTTATACTTCATATAAAAGTGTTAAAACAGTGTTCTGACTTCTGACTTGTGTCGTGTTTATTTTACCAAATTTCTCAAGGAAAACACTCGCCTGGAAAATGAGCTTCTGGAAAACGCAGAGAAGTTGGCAGAGTACAAGGCCCTGACCAATAAACTTCAGCGGAATCTGGAAAATGTGTTAGCAGAAAAGGTAGCGCTGCCTAACTTCCGACTTCCTGATGAGTTGCCCAAAATGTCACTCACCCAAAAGGGCAGAGGCGATGCCAAGAACATTTTTATTAGGGAACTGTTTGGACACAGGAAGTTGTGATTTTCAGGATATAATTTAGAGCAGTGGCTGTGAGGGGACTGAGATGGGCTCCCTACCCAAGTAGAACACATCGCTCTTGGATGTTCTCTTCTTCTTCCGGTTGGTGGTGTCTCTGCTCAAATGCCACATTCCTGTCATATCTGGGAGCTCGGGTAACACCAGAAACTGGGATCGTTGGAATGTGATAGGTCAAAGAAGGGCCCTTGGGAAAAACAACAGCTTTGTTTCTTTGTCCTTTCTAGTTTGGTGACCTCGACCCCAGCAGTGCTGAATTCTTTCTTCAAGAAGAGAGGTTGGCCCAGATGAGAAATGAATATGAGCAACAGTGCAGGGTGAGTCGCTGGTGAGAACTAAGCAACACAAGAGGACCTGGGTTCAAATCCTGGCCTCGGTACTTCTTGGCCACATCCACTGAAATCTGTGGGTGCCTCAATTTCCTTTATGCACAATGGTAAAAGGAGTGCCCACTCAAAGGGCAGCTGTGGAGGTTTGGAGGGAATCTCTGTGACGGAGCCAGGGACATGCTAGACACATACATGGATGCTGGCTATTAATGGTACCCCATATCCTGGACTGCACGTAATCAGGAGAACTACATTCGGGGCCACCTTACCTCTCAGCTGTATAGAGGGATATCCAGTTTTATGCTGAGTGAAGAAATATTTGGCTGTGTTGATGTGCTTATTCCAAAACTAGCTTTCCCTAGCTGATCGTTGTAAACTTAATATGACTGGATTTAATTTTTGTCCTTTTTCTGAATGCACCCATTTATTTGAAAAATACAAAAACTGGGAGCAGAAACCACTCAGGCAGAAGTTGTTAGCCACTCCCGGTGCCAACCGGGACGAGCAGAGGTCTCAGTTTCTTAACTCCCCTAAGCTTAGCAATTTGATTTTTTTTTTTTTTCTTAACCAAAAATACTTACTAACAAGGTAAATACAACTGAGTTCTGATTGTTTTGAATCAGTTTATACTTGTGCAGGGCTAAGGAAAAATGTCATCTCAAAAGATTGCTTCTGGCCTGCCTTCTCAGGAGCTGTGTGTGCACATAAGAAGTGACAAGCCCTTCTCTGCTGCCTTCATGAGTAGCCTTAGGTCTAATCATGAGCTTTTGATTGAATTGTCTCTAAAGTGAATGGATCGTCAGTAAACTTGTTCCTGATACCTTCAGAACTCCCAGTTCATCTTTTTGTATACTGTACATTCCATTCATTCAAGGTTTTTAGTTCTGTGTTTGTAATTATATTCCAACAACTGAGCAACCCTGACTACATTCAATATGAGAATGTTGTCATCTCCCCAGGAAACCCCACTTCCCTTTAGCCAACTTCTCCTGTGTGTTGGCCCCTCACTGCACCCCCGCCACAGGCAATGACTGGTCTATATTCTGTCTTTATAAAGCCAGTATTCACCTTTCGTAGAAATGGAATCATGTAACAAATGGTCCTTTGCTTCCTCATTTGGTGATATTGTCCTTATTTATCATATTGTTACATGTATCTATATTCTGTTCCTGCCAGTGGCTGAATAAAATCCCATTGTGTTGATGTTACATTTTGTTAATGAGTTAATAGACATTTGGGTTTTTAGGTTATCATGAATAATGAATGATTCTGTGTCGATTTTTGCATGGGGTTTATACCTACATGTGTTCAACTGGGCCACAAGAGAAATCAATGTTTAACTTTCAGGAATTGGCAGGTCTCCTCCAAGTGGTGAGATCATGTTATTCTCACAATATGAGAGTCTGGGCTCCCCCCCCCCCCAACATCTTTGTTTACAATTGTCATACACTGGCCTGGATTTTCTAAATCTCCTGATAGCTGACAGTGTTTCTGGTCATCTAATGTACTTATTGTTTATCTTCTTTGGCGAGCTGTTATAGTCTTTGCCCATTTTAAAGTTGAATTCCTTGTCTTTGGGCTCTAATAATCTTTATAAATTCTAGCTATAAGTCCCTACCTGGTAGTTAACAAAACTTCCTCCAATTGCATGCATTGTCTTTTTAAAAAACAGTATTTTTACTTTTCGTTATATGTATATGTGTTTGTGTTGTTTTTGCACATGAGTGCAGTACCCACAGAGGCCAGAAGAGGGGGATCAGTTCCTCCTGGTGTGGGAGTCACAGGTGATTGTGACCCACCTGACTCGGATGCTGGGAACCACGCTCGGGTCCCATGCATGAGCAAGACAGGTTCTTAACCTCCAGTTCTCTCTTCAGACCCCATGTCCTTTTTACTTTCTTGGTGTCTTCTGAAACACAAAAGTTTATATTTTGCTATTATCCCATTTATCTGTTTTTCTTGTTGCTTGCGCTCTTGGTGCTCCATGTAAAACCGGTGTTGGTTTTTAAACTCCAGCTATTACAAGACCAAGTGGATGAACTCCATTCAGAGCTAGAAGAATATCGTGCACAGGGCAAAGTGTTCAGGCTCCCCTTGAAAAACTCGCTGTCAGAAGAACTTGACGTTAACAGCGGTGGCATTGAGCCTGACCAAGGTAAACACATTTGCACAGAACTTTTTGGTATCTGCGTTTGACCTAGTTTTTAGAAGCATGGCTGAGTGGAGCATTGCTGAATGCTGGCATCCTGGAATCCAGGGAGGGAGAGACTTTGGCAGTCTCATTTCTGGAACTGTTTCACTTGTGGCTGGGGTTTTCGTTTGTCCTTGAGGTCTTTATTAAAATACTTCTGAGTTTGATATTGCGGACCCTTCCCTCCCTGCCGGCATCTGCCTGGTATGAAGATGGTTTGGAAGAGCTAGCCAGCCACACACCGCAGAACCCATAACTGATGTTTGTAGCTGGCTATGCTAAATGCCTGATTTGCCTGTGCGGAGCAGCAGATGAGTTAAGCACTGGTGCCCGTGGCTTTGTGGGATATAGTGGAGGGCAGGCCTGTTTGGGAACCACAGTGCAGCCACACTCAGCTCTCTGCCCGAGTCCTGCCTTCTTCCCCGGTATGTTGGGTTCTGCTGCTCTTTGTAGCTTCTCCCGCCCCTTTGGTCCTTAGGAAAGTGGTTTACTCCTTCACTCGCCTCTACTGTAGGTGGCTGGGGAGGAGGTGTAACAAGTTGGGAGTCCTTTTCTCTGGTCCTTGACTCACTCACTGTAGCTTGTCCACCAGAATGTTGGGGGTACTTCTAAGCAACCCTGCCACCTTGGAGGGTGGATGTGCCCAAATATATGAAGAGAAAGCCCAAGGCAAGACTGCCAGTCTGAGCTGCTAGACCTCTACCCAAGAACGGTTCCCCATCTGCCCTCCACATCTTCTGATGACAAAACCATTTGAGTCTCACGACCTTGAGACATCTTTTCCTAGTAGTAGATATGTTTGACCTTGTGCTAGCGTGGCCCACAACTGCTCATATTTTCAATTTTCTTTAGTCCCATTGGATAATGGGGATAGTAAACTCCCTTGAAGGCATGGAGAGTCTCCCCTGTTGCGGGCACCCACACTCCTGACCCGTGCCCTATCTGTAACTGACACCAGGAAATTCATGACAGTAAAACAATTGTGTGCAGCCTTGAGGGATGGATTAGACATCTTGGCTCATGAAGTTTGTTAGTATTCAGGCATCTGTCCTGGCCTGCCCGTGGGGTCTTGACAGGATGCACCCTCAGCTGCTGCCACTAAAAGCACCACCAGCGACTATTCACTATATTCCCTTTTAAAAGGGCCCCTACCTACCTCCCATTATCATCTCTCTCTCTCTCTCTCTCTCTCTCTCTCTCTCTCTCTCTGCCCCTCTTTTCTCTCCCCTGCTGCTCCTGCCCCTGGAGGCTGGTTTCCCGCTCCTCTTTCCCCTTTTAATGATTCCTTTCCCTAATAAAAGACCCCTCTGCTTGAACCCTGTCACATGGCATCTTTCTCCCAAGCGCTACTTTTCTAAAATTACAGCAAAGTTAGCCCCATAAGACTCAGCAGCAAGGGAACTAGTCATTTGTTTGTCCCCTGCGGCATCCTCCCTCTCAATTTGTCACTGGGCAGTTTCTGGAGAGACAAAAGGCTGGTTGCTATCTCCTTACCACATAGCATTTTTACTGAGAGCTCGTATTCCACACATGCCCATAAATCGTTCTAAAAGATGGACTCTACGAAGGTTTGGCACACCACCTATATTCAGGAAACTCTATTCACCTTCTTGTTGCTCAAATGTCTGAAGAGCAGAGAATCTTTTCACCCCGTCTATTGTTCCCAAGTGCTTCACACATGGGCAAATCAGGTTGAAAAGGATTCCTTAGTCAAGCCATCGCCAGATGCCAGAGTGTGTCGATGACAGTGGTGTCCATGTGTTTTCAGGGCTTGCTTCTGAAGAATGCAATCCACTGAATATGAGCATTGAGGCTGAGCTGGCCATCGAACAGATGAAAGAACAACACCACAGGGACATGTGTCACCTGAGACTGGAGCTGGAAGAGAAAGTAAGTGTCGCTTCCCAGTCTTGCTGTCTGATGGCTGAGAGTCCTGTCTGCAGGCCGCATTCCTGCTGCCTTTTCTCCCCAGACCAGCACTTCCTATGCATGTCTACGGATCGGTCGCTGAGGTCAAGGCCTGTGCTATGGTGTGATTTTTCCCTTGGTCCTTATTGTGGACAATGTCAGAGTTGTCCAGCATGTGATATGCTTAGCCTCACGTATCATAATGTACTAATTGTAGCGTTTTTAACTTATTTAAAAAATCCCAATTAAAAAACAAATAAACGAAACCCTTTCTCTGATGCCATCCCATTTACTAGTTTAGGTACAAGTTCTTTTCCTTGGCCTTCCAGTCCTTTGCTACGTAGCTGCTGCTCACCTTCACCGTGTTTTGAGTCTTTTTTTCATCCTTGCATGTAGTGTGCATGTTTACATGTGTATGCACATTCATGTCTGAAAGCACATGAGTATGTCACAGCTGGAGATTGATGTCCAGTGTCTTCCCTGATTGGTCTCTCACTGAACCCAGTGCTCGCCCATTCATCCAGCCTCGCTAGCCAGCTTCCCCGGGGGACCCTCTGTCTCTACCTTCCAATGCTGGCATCACAAGTAAAGTGCCACCATGCCCAGCTGTTATTATGTAGGTTTCAGGGATCGGGCTGAGGTCCCCTTTATCAAGTGCCACCTGCCCTGCCTCTGCTTTCCTGTGTTCACTTGGATTTTGCTGGTTTCCGAATAACTCTACTGAGCACTGCGTGGAGCCTGACATGTGCTTTCCTTTACCTTCACACCTTTTCTTTCCTACTGAGAACTTAGGGTCTTAAAATACTCTGTTTAAGTCTTCAAATGTTTCCTGAACTCCGTAAGGCACTCTGCAGGCCATATCAAACACAAAGTCAGGGGAGGAATTGTTAGTTCAATGAGAGACCTTGGAGCTCTGTGGCCAGCCAGCCTAGCCTATTTTAGTGAGTTCCAAGCCAATGAAAGACCTGTCAGAAAAGAGAAGGTGGATAGTGTGACACTGTAGTTGTCCTCTTGCTCACACACGTGTGCACATACCTGCACACATGTCCCCTTGTACACATACAAACACATGCATGTGTGCACGCGTACCCACCCACCCACTCACACACACACCTTCCTAAATAAATAAAAGCAGACCTTGCTTGCTAGAATTTTACTTCAGGTAATTTTGAACTAAGTCACTTTGAATCAGAAGGAGAAACCAAGAGTGTCCTGTGGGACAGCATCACTTGTTGTCCTCACCATCCCTTTGCGTAACCTGGAACCCAGTCATCCCGAGGTTTCGCTGTCTGGTTCTAGGTGCACCATTATGAAAAGCAGTTGGATGACACCAGGGTCACCTGTGAGAAGGAGCAGGCGGCCATGAAGCAAAAGTATGAGCATGGAATGCACACCTTGGAGACACAGATAAGCGACCTTCGAGGTGAGATCACAGATCTCCAAGGGCAGGCGGTGGTACTGAAGGAGGCCCACCACGAGGCGAGCTGCAGGCACGAGGAGGAAAAGAAGCGACTGCGGCTGGTGTTTGAGGAGGAAAAGACTCAGCTTCAGGAGGAGCTGCGGCTGGAGCATGAGCGGGAGCTCCAGGCCAGGCTGCAGCAGGCCGAGGAACACTTTCAGCAGGAGAGAGAGGGGCTCGCTCAGGCTGCTGCCTGGACCGAAGAGAAGGCGAGGGGCTTGACGCAGGACCTGGAGCAATCTTACCAGGAGCAGCTGCTGAGCCTGGTAGAGAAGCACGCCCTTGAGAAAGAGCAGCTGAGGAAAGCGCTCTTGGAACATCACCAAAGGGAACTTCAAGAGGGAAGGTAAGAAAGTGAGGGGAATTAAAGCAACATGGCAACACTTCTCTGGGGGGGGGGGGTCCCACCACGGAGGACTGCGGGGGTGGGGGTGGGGCCCACAGCAGGTAGAATTGGTTCTTTAGGAATTAATCTGGCCAGTTTTGCCTCTATTCCAGGGCGCCTCCCTTGGGGCTGCTGGTGTATGTGCACGTGGGGGAGGAACTGTCCCTGCATGAGACTTACTGTCTCTCTGTGCTCCGGATGAGGGCCAGATCCTTCCTGCTCCAATGCTGTTGCCTTCTGAGAAAGGCTATTTATAAACTGGATTCTGGACATGCTTATATTTCCTCCCCATTATGAAATGCCATTTTGTGTTTATCTCCCTTGTGTGAAATCCCAGGGATAACAGAGTTTTTGAGCTTCCCACCTTGTTTACTATAGTGCTCTTTTATTAAATGAGAAGCAAGCGCAGAAGACGGTTATCCTCATGTCTGATTTACTCAACTGAACCCCTACAATGCCTTCTTCATTCAAATGAAGTGAGGTCACGGTGTCTTTGGTCATTCATGCGAAAGGGGCCAGTTTAAGGCATCGGTGTAAGCCACATAAGTACATCCAGGAGGATATCAAAGGATTTGGTTTTGTAAATGTCCCCCTGCTTCAGAGAAAGGTTAAGTTTTCCAGACTTATGACCACCCGCCTTAGCTCTAGGAGGGGAGAATCCCTTCCTGGTACACTCAGATTGTATGGAATCAGATCATTGTAAAAGGGTTCCCATTGTTCCCCCGTCAGCCTCCTCCATGCATGGGGAAACATTGGGTTTGCTTCTAGAGCTGGCAGCAGTCTCAATAATGCTGTATGTTGACCACATTTAGGGAAAAAATGGAAACAGAGTGTAATAGAAGAATCACTCAGATAGAAGCCCAGTTTCAGGCTGACTGTGAGAAAGTTACTGAGCGCTGTGAACAAACTCTGCAAAGCCTGGAGGGGCGCTATCGCCAAGAGCTGAAGGACCTCCTGGACCAGCACCTGGAGGAGAGGTCCCAGTGGGAGTTTGAGAAGGATGAGCTCACTCAGGAGTGCACAGAAGCCCAGGAGCAGCTGAAGGAGGCGCTCCAGAGGGAGAAGGCAACAGCTCTCATCCTGAACCAGGAGCGAGAGATGCTGGAGAAGACATACATGGAACGTTTGAGCAGCCTAAGCATGGAAAGAGATGGGCTGCTACAAGACCTGGAAGACCTGCGGAATACTTCTGAGAGCCAGCATGGCCTCTTGTCTGATCAGATCCTTGAGCTGAAGAGAAGTCAGGGGAGAGAGCTGAGGGAGCGAGAGCTACGCCAGACAGGGACTTCTGAGCAGCTAGCCAGCCAGCAGCTTGAAAGGCTACAGGTAGAGCATGAACGAGAGAGGCAAGAAATAGTAGGTAAGCTTGCAGCCCTGGAGAGCGCCCACAGAGTGAGCCGTGAGAGAGCCGATCTAGAGAAGGCTGAGCTGAGTGCAGAAATCCTCAGGCTTCAGAATACAGTAAAGGACATGAAACAGGCAGCATCTCTTTCGGTATTTGAGGGTGCTCATTCTCTGGTAATGATGGGGGAGGAGGCAGAAGGAAATGGAGCCATGTCCCTGCTTCAGCAAGGGGAGCAGCTGTTGGAAGAAAATGGTGACGTCCTCATCAGCCTGCAGAGAGCTCATGAGCATGCCGTGAAGGAAAATGTGAAAATGGCTACTGAAATCTCTAGATTGCAACAGAGGCTGAAACAGTTAGAGCCAGGGTCAGTGATGTCACCTTGTTTGGAGGAGCAAATGACTGAGATTTCTGGAAGTTCCCGGGAACAAGCTGAGCCATTTGTATCACAAGTAAAGCAAGGAGAAAGTGCCACCACCAAGCACATCCTCAGGGACTTAGGAGACCGCGAGGCCCAGGACCTGGGAAGTACAGGGACAAGCTCTGTTCGAAGGCAGGAGGGCAAAACTGAGGAGTTGGAAACTTCGCTGGAGTGCTTTTCTGAGCTCGAAAACAGTGAAGATGCCAGGACAGAATCCTGGGACTTGAAGAGCCAGATCATTCAACTCCAGGAGCAACTAACAGTCTTACGTGCGGACTGTGATCGGGCTTCTGAAAGGAAGCAGGACCTACTCTTTGATATTTCTGTGCTGAAAAAGAAACTAAAGATGCTGGAGAGAATCCCCGAGGCATCTTCCAGATATAAGTTGTTATACGAGGATGCCACTAGAGAAAATGCCTGCCTCCAGGAGGAGTTGAGGCTCATGGAAACACGCTACGATGAGTCAATGGACAGCAACCAAGAGCTCACTACTGAAGTCTTCAGGCTGCAGGATGAGATGAAGAAAATGGAGGAGGTGCTAGAAACGTTCCTTAGCCTGGAGAAGAGTTACGATGAGGTCAAGATGGAAAACGAGGAGCTCAGTGCTCTGGTGTTGCGGCTTCAAGGGAAGATGGAGAAGGTTCTGGATAGAGCCCCCTTGCACTGTGACAGCTACCCCTTGTGGGAAGCCCCTTCAGAACAGCTGGAGGTCATCTCTGATGAAAAGGTGCTTGAACTCCGCCAGGCTGCAGAAGAGTGTACACCCAAGGTCATGAGCATGCGCCACATCCTAGAAGAATGCAGACAAGAAACAAAATGCTGTGAACAGGGAAGCACACGGCTCCTGGCCAGAATAAAAGCACACGAAATCGCCTGGCTCCACGGGACAATTCAGACATGTCAGGAAAAGCCTAGTGTGCAGAATCAGGTTCTCCTGGAGGAAAGTGCTGCCCTCCTAGGCCGTCAAGACACACATCTTGACCATCAGGTCACAATCGCAGAGTTAGACCTGGAGAAACAGAAGCTACAGGAGCTGACTAGAAAGTTGAGGGAGCGAGTCAGTACATTAGTTAAGCAAAAAGATGCACCTTCTCAAGGAGAGAAGGAGGAAGAGCTGAAGGCAATGATGCATGACTTGCAGATCACATGCAGTGAGATGCAACGGAAAGTTGAACTTCTGAGGTAATGTATGTGCTTTCTAGACATCATGGAAGCCTGCAGAGCACCTGATCAAATCTAACTGCCGCTGCTTGCCGTGCCTAGAGACACTAACCTATTAGTCTCAAGAAGAGCAATGTTCTAGCCTTCTCCGCTTCTGTGTGTATTAACAACTAGAGTAACCTTGTCTAGGTGGCATCCCGTCCCGCATAGCATATCCATGTTGTCCCCACGGAGTGTGGAAGCTCAACATGGCGAGTGTCTGTTACTTAACCACAAGCATCACCGGTCTTCGTCCTTAGCCCTCTCCTAGCACTTGTCCTTTGGCTGGGTAGATACCGTTTTGCTCAATGTTAGCTCCTGTTCTCATTTTGCCGAAGCATGTTATGTGGAATGAATGCCTTTTGTGTAGTATTAACTCACTTGGTAGATAACGGTGCTATTCTTCCACTAATATAAGAAGTGTGTCGATTGGATTATACTTTTTCCTTTCATACTTGAAGTGTATGCTAGTATCCAACAAACAGTACATTTTATCTTAGAATGAATCATTTCACCAAGGAATTACCAAAGTCTAATAAATATTCTTGAGGGATAAAGACAAAGTAAACTACTTTCAACAACTACCAACCTGACTTTATGAAGTAAGATGGCATTTTAGTATTCTAGCATTGTTGGGTTTTTCTTTAATTTGTAAAATATTACGTTGTGTCCAAAGCATCTTAATGGTATAAAACAAAAACAATTCAGTTGTGAATGTGTGTTTCCTTTTCCTCAAATTACTTTTACGTCAGAACCTCAGAATACAGTGAGAAGAATAAACTGCATGTTTTGGTGTGCCCCTTGGTTTATGTAGTACATTTTCTTTCTTAGGTCCCTGGGGGCCTGAACTAAAGCTTACATAGCTTAGTAATGTGGCTTTTGTCTGTTCAGAGCAGGGAAGACTTGTGACTGAGGTAAATGAAGCCAGCTGTTCAAGGCAGCCTGCTTGCCATTGAGAAGTCAACACCAGCATTGGCTTTGAGTCTGGATCCCTGTCTCCTTCTAGCCACGCTCTCTACCCACCCCCCACATGCCCCCTCCCAACCATGTCTTTTAGTGAGATTCTTACTTCCCAAAAGTAGTGACTCAATATGTTACAACTTGATTTCCAAGTACCAAGAGACTACTAATTTAGACTTCTACTTTATCTGGCATGAAAAGCTTTCTTTATTGGAAGTTACTAGAAAATATTTTCCAAAGATGCCAGATGACTGCCATGTTGTAACATTTTTTTTTTTAAATCTCTACACTTCAGATATGAATCTGAAAAGCTTCAAGAGGAAAATTCTATTTTGAGAAATGAAATTACTACTTTAAATGAAGAAGATACCATCTCTAACCTGAAATTAGAGGAATTAAATGGATCTCAGGAAGAATTGTGGTAAGACACAGATAGTGCACTTAAATTTTACAAGGACTGAGAACTATTTAACTTCTATTTTAAAGGCTCCACTCCTGAATCATGTTCTTATTGCTCCTTTAGGCAGAAAATAGAAACTGTAGAACAGGAAAAAGCTTCAATTGAGAAGATGGTTGAAAAATTAAAGAAACAGGTAAGGAAACATTTAAAAAATTCCCAGTGTTTCTTGACTGAAATTTTCTTTCTTTCTTTTTTTTATTTGAAATTTACAAACTAAATTAGTAAATAAATAAATAGATTAGTAGAATAATATATGCAATGGTGAGATTGACTGTGGAAACTCACCTCATAGTGACTCTAAACTAGGTCCCTGCCTTTGGAAGTCATGTATAGTCATTTATAGACCTTCCGTGCAAAATACAAGCTTTATACCTAGTATACATAGGAAGATAATGCCTTTGAGCTTGACCTTTGATTAATGTCAGCACCTTCATTTTTCTGATTAAAAGCAGAAAATTTCTGACAGAATTTCACAGCTATAGAATGCCAGAAAATCTGCATATCATTTCACAGACTTGTAACTCGTTCAGATGGCTTATGCCATTCAATGCTCATTTTGTATAATCTTACAGCATATATTCAAGTATGGGAGGCCTATTTAAGAACAAATCTGAAATAGTCCCAAGATAAGGACATACTTTGGAAAGGAATATTTTTAGTGTCTGAAATAGCCAAGGTAACATCCAAAATATACCTTGTACTATTTCAAATAATTGGCAGTACTCAGTTGAAAAGTAGTCTATAGATATGAAGGATCAAATCATAGAAAGGCATAACATTACATACAGGATGGCTAGCTTCAGAGTGTTACGGGAATTTATATAGTTTAGGTTTTTTTTTAATCTACTAAACTAACGAAAATGAAACATTGATAGTATCTAAGAGAATGAGGAAAGAGCTACACTGTCAAGAGTAAGCTGGGGGGCACCTATAGGAAGACTGTTGGGGTCTTCTGTAGGGCTTCCTTTCTAACCCGGCAACCATTTCAAAAGAGGCAAACCCAGAAGTGCTACCATTCTGTTGTTAGTAATGAAAAGACATGGTAATGACAAACATATACATCTATCCATGCAGGAATGGATAATGGCAATATGGGAAACTTTTTTGCATAAAATGTCCTGCATTTATCAAAATATATATCATATTGTGGTACCTAGATATGCTAAGTAGGAAAGACAACATCTCTACGATATCCTACGTAGAAAAAGCAGGCTGTTCAAACATGCATTGATTCTTTTTATCTTTATTTTTATTTATTTATTTATTGGTTAAAAGTAAGGTGGTGCTGTGTATGCATAGAAAATGACCTAGTATTATGTATATTCAGCTATAAAGAATAGGGAGCCCTGTGGCCTGAAATTAACCTGGGTCTAACTTCTTCACATGCTTCTGAATAGATTGAATTTGTAATAATGAGCATATATTATTCTTGTTATTGTGTATGGTTAAGGAAGCACACAAAGAAAAATTAAGTTTATTACAAAAAAAAAAAAAAAAAAAAAAGATATACTGTAGGTTCATGCTCGAGAGCAGCAGTTCCCAACTGTGGATCTTGACCCCTTTGGGGGTCCAATGACCCTTTCACAGTGATTACCTAAGACCATTGGAAAACACAGATATTTACATAAGTCACAGTTATGAAATAGCAAGGCAAATAATTTTATAGTCAGGGGTCACTACAACATGAAGAACTGTACTAATAGTCAGGGGTCACTGCACCGGGGAGGTTGGGGGACACTCCTCCACAAGCAGGAGCAGCCAGGACGAGAAGCAGGACTGCCCTGTGGCACAGTAAAGCGTCGTACAAGGATTTTTTTTTACATTGAGAGAGGAGAAAAATCTCTAAATATGCTTTTTACTGTTACAGCAAAAGTAGGGCAGCAATTTTTTTTTAAAAAAACTCATTTCAATTTTAATTAGGTTTCAGATTTAAAAATCAAAAACCAACAGTTGGATTCAGAAAATGCAGAACTCAGCCAAAAGAACTCCCAAAACAAGGAAGAGCTGCAAAAACTTAATCAACGTCTGGCAGAGATGCTATGCCAGAAGGAGGAGCCAGGAACCTGCACCTCTGAGAAATGGGAACAAGAAAACTTGAGTCTGAAAGAAGAGCTGGATCGATGCAAAGTGCAGGTAGGGTCTCCAGCCACACTCAGCTTAGCTTTCTCAGTCCAGAGAAAGAAATTTCTTATGCATAGTTCAGGTAGGGTCTCCAGCCACGCTCAGCTTAGCTTTCTCAGTCCAGAGAAAGAAAAGAAATTTCTTATACATAAGACTGTAATGATTAAATCAGTATAGTACTGACACATTAATATATACTCCAGATATATCAAATATATGCAGGGGATAGAACATTCCCCCAAAAAATGAAAAGTGAGTTCAGGGAAGCATCTGTAAGCTATGAATAACACATTTGTGAATTCATCTCAGCTGTGATAAAAAATATCTTTTTTTAAAAAAGAATTACACTTTGCCAGATATGCACAGATTTCGTTCTTATTGTTGTTGTTATTCCCCAAAGAACACAGGTAACAAATATTTACTTATATTTATATTGTGCTACTGAAGATGAGTTGAGTCTACAAGCGAATATAAACAAAAGTTCTACGCAAATACTGAACTGATTTATAAGGGATTTTGAGCACCCAAGGCTTTGGCTATCTTGGGCAAAGGGGTGGCACTCCCGGGACTAATTCCCCATAGATAGCAAGAGTAACTAATCAAAGTGGTTTTTTTCCCCAATCAATGGGGTCAAAATAGATTTTCTTTTAAACACCTGGACAAATTGGGTAGATATTTAGGACTAGATTCAGACTATAGACGTAAACCCCAACCAGAGTAGAACACTACATACAATAAATAAAACCATCCAAACACCAGGAAAACTCATGGGTGAAGTTGTCTTTAGCCACAGAAAGAAGAGATGCTTTAGCCACAGTTAAAACAAACAAACAAAAAACCCTTGAAATTTAGGACAGGGCTGGGGAGATGGCCAGTGGTTAAGAGCACTCCTGCCCCTGCAGAGGACCTTTGTTTCACAAAACCCACGTGGCAATTCACAAACCATCTGTAACTCCTTTTCCAGTGGATCCGATGACTCTTTTGACCCCCACCTGCACCCTGGGCTTGTACACCCATGTGGTATGCATACAAGATAAATTTAAAATATTTTTTTTTAAGAAGAAAAAAATTTAAGGACATAAGAAAAATTTGGTAGCAAAGTGAGAAAAAAAAACTAAAAACAGAAACAGAAGTTTTTTTTTTTTTAAAGATTAAAATGACCCTCAAAGTTTCAAAAAGATATTCAAAATCACTTATAATTAGAGAAATGTAAAATAAACAGTACTGGCATGTAATTCCTTGCTTGAAAGATCAGTATCTATTTAAAGAGTACAGCAGCATGTTCTGTTGGCAAGGCTGCATTGGCAGACATTTTTATGTATTGCCGCAGTCAGTCATGCACTGACACCATTCATGTGGAGGTAAATTTGGCAATGCCTACCACTTTCCTTTTGTCCAACAACCTCACTTCTAGGAATGAAGCCTCACAATATCCCTACACCAATATGAAAAGCCGTACGCACGGGGTTATTCATCCCAGCTTTGTTCATATCTGCAAAGTTGTAAGAACAATCTAGATGCTCGTGCATGCACACAACGGTGATTGAATTAAGTGTTGAGACTATAGCCATGTTATGAGTAGTCTTCTGTAACTCTTAAAAAACAGAGGAACATAGCTGGAGGTGGTGGTGCGTGCCTTTAGTCCCAGCTCTCAGGAGTTTGAAGGTGGATCTCCATGAGTTTGAAGACAGCCTGGTCTGTAGAGCTAGTTCCAGGCCAGCTAGGGCTGTTAATACAGAGAAACCCTGTCTCAAAACACAAACAAACAAAAGAAAAAAAGAAAGAAAGAAAGAAAGAAAGAAAGAAAGAAAGAAAGAAAGAAAGAAGAAAGAAAGAAAGAAAGAAAGGAAAGAAAGAAGAAAGAAAGAAAGAAAGAAAGAAAGAAAGAAAGAAAGAAAGAAAGAAAGGAAGAGAGAAAGAGAGAAAGAAGAAAAGAATGAGAACAATCAAAATGAGTCCTAGGACATGCTATTAACTGGGTAGTTAGGCTACAAAGAGTATGAGCACCGTGCTTCCATGCTTGTAAGGGGAAGGGGAGACTTCAGAACAGAGCCATGTGTTTGCCCATTTATGTAAAGAAAATATAAGAATGATACCCTGACCCTAGAGAGATGGTTGCAGAGTTGGGTGGCAAAGGCATGGACAGTGACGTGGGATGTGGTAGAAGACTAAAGAGGACGATGCTCTGGGGAAGTTATCTTTGTACAAAGCTCTGACTTTTATACTTGGTGTTTCACATGTTTGTTTGTTGTTGCTTTTGTTTCGTTTTGTTTTTTGTCTTGCTTTGTTTTCCTCCCAGTTCTGAGAGTTTGACCTAGAGCTTTGCAACAGCGAGGCAAATGCTCTACTACTGAGCTACATCCCAGCCCTGTTTCACACAGTCTTCATATACTCAAATAAATAAAATCAGTCATGATGGGCGTGGGGATACAAAAATAGAACAAAAACAGTAACAAACAGAACTGACACTGTGTCTAAAATAACCACTGTTGGGAGGGAAAAAAGAATTAACAGTCCATAAATGCTTTAATAATCTAGTAAGAAATTGTGATTCTTGTGGGCATACAAGGTTATTTTGTGTATACTAGAAGTGAATGAATAAGGGAATATAGCATAGACCAAGGATGAGAACTATAATTCTCACTGTTGGAGAAGAAAATGTGGAGGGCTAAGGTGAACCCTCTGATGTTGGTTCAGGATCTGAGACATGAGTATGTATACACAGTATATATGCAGAGAGGTGGAGAAGGAAACATAGATGTGTTTCTGTATGGGATAACCAGTTCTTGCTTTCTAAATACCATTTTCCTAGAAAAGCACCTTGGGAAAAAAGTACTGATTCTGAGAGCAGAACAGGAAAGATATAAGTTGAACCTGGAATGTCCCATGGTGCCAGATAGGAAAAAAAAGTACTAAACCATAAATAAATAAAAAGTGAAAATAGGGGGTAGGAGAGGTAGCTCAGTGGTTAAGAGACTGCTTCCATAGGACCTGAGTTCAGTTCCCAGCACCCACATGGGAGCGCAAAATTGTCTGTAACACCAGTTCCAGGGGAACACAGATATACATGCAGGCAAAATACCAGTGCACATACAATAAAAATAAAATAAGGTTAAAAAATCTTTTTAAAAAAAATTAAAAATAGAACAAACTCAAAAGACTCAGGCCCCCACCTAAGGGAACTCCTAATAGCTCTGATTCAAACAGTTTGATCAATGAAATACATATAGACTGGAATTATTATAAAATAAGTGTAATAGATGTCTGAGTACATATTAGCATCGACTGACTGAATAAACAAACGGGAGATGCTGCTGCCCTTTCTTATGGAATTCTAACAAATGCAGAAATGAAGGAAGGAAATGGAAAGTCACCCGTAGGAAAACCCCAAGTGATAGCTTTAGCAGCCTGAGTGCACAGGGAGACACTGGGATGAATAGGCAGAAATCCAAGGAGAAGTTTCAGTCTCACAATACCTCTTCCAGGAGAAAGTAACTCTACAGTAGAGAAATATGCAAAGACGTGGACTAGTCACCAAGTCCATGATATCTACATACATGGAAAGCCTTGGAAGATAATTTGGTTAGTTCATTGACTATAGAATAAGTGTTCCCAGAGCAATGCCATTGAACTGGTGGTGTTACTGTTGCCTTCTTTGGGCTTGGTGAAGCATCCCCAGCCAATGAAGATGTCTGTTACATGCCTGGGGTGAAGCTTCCCCAGCCAATGATTATGTCTGTATTATGCCTGATCTCTTTCTTAGACTTCCACTTTAGTGGCTTCTCTGGAGGCAGAGCTTTCTGAAGTTAAACTGCAGACTCACATTGTGGAACAGGAAAACCTCCTTCTCAAAGAAGAGCTGGAGAAACTGAAGCAGGCAAGTCTGTGCTTCCTGAGTGGGGTGAGGAACGACATGGCATTTGATGATGTCTCCTGCCGCCAGATGCCCTTTGCATTGTGGTTGCTCAGGCAGCTTACTGCCTCAAGTTGAGGGCTTGAAGTGCAAGCATGGTTAGAAGAACTCTGCTTGCTAATTCTCTCCTGAAACAGCTTATTTATATGGTAGACTCTAAAATTCTGTTACTGTGAATCCCAACCATTCCAGTTTCAAATTTTTGTTGCTCTGTTTTCTCCCCGCCAGATGAAAAAAGTAGCACTAGCTTGTCTATAAGAGAGTGACGTTCTGGCTCATGACTTGCATAACTGTTCTTTGGTTTCTGAAGACCCACATGAAGTGCGTCCCACACCTGTCTCTAACTTGTGGCAGGTGTGAGTTGCCTGGCTTAGGAAGAAAAGCTCTTCCTTCAGGTGGTGAGGCCCTGTCCCAAAAAATTAGTGTGGTTTTTTTAGAAGGCTATTTCAAAGTTTCAAACAAAGACTTAATTTAAATATAGAAGAGGGCATACCTAAAAAAAAAAAAAAAAAAAAAAAAAAAGCTATAGCTACAGATGAAATATTGTCCCGTCTTGTTTTTATTATGTGTAAGAGTATCTCCATTGTACCAATATTGTTTTATAATAGAATTTAGTTGTTCCATTTATTTGCCCCACCCTTGTTACCTTAATATTTGTACCATCAGATGATAAAATGTTCCTTCCTACATCTGTTCTGTTCACCCTGTTAGCATAGTGACCTTCCTTAAACACGGTAACAGTCTTAACTAGGTTCACACTGCACCTGTACCATATGTGTTCTTTGAGCTGACTGCTAATTGACTCCCTTATCTAGTAATAGAATAAGGCCATCAAGGCACTTGTGTCTTTGGTAATGCTTTTCACAGGACTGGCACCAAACAAGTGTCTTACAAGAACTTTCTATGCCAGGTACTATACAGTACCGAGTATATCTTTCCTGTCACGAGTAGAAACTCCATTTTTTTTCCATATAAACATGCTGGAAGCTATGGCTTCCTTGTGAGGTAAGAGTAGCCCAGAGCCACTACTCATAAGTTTGTTGTAATCAACTCCAGTGCACCTTTCCTCATGTGTCTTTGAAAGCATGGCTTGCTCACCCTTTCAGTGATAATGTCCAATCCATGTGCATACCATGTGTGATGTATGCTGCATGGCCTTGCTGAGCTATATAGCATCAGAAAAGGGAGCAGAGTTGGGAGAAAAACATGAGGAGGACATCACTTGGCACATTTTATCACACATTCTTCCCAGAGCATTGGTATAAATAGATGGGAAAACCATGAGTCCCTATGTGCACATGGTAGGAAGTCATTTTGTCCCGAGGATTCTTGATAAAGGTGGTGTCAGCTTCCAGCCCATCCTTGCTGCACTGCAGCGTAGACCCAAAAAGCATACACCACTCTATATAACATCATGATTTAGGGCTCTGGAAGCGCTTTTATATATATTACATATCTCACCAAAAAGAAGCATAAATAGTATCCAAGGAATCAACATCCCCTGTTAAGTTGGGGAATTAGTATTAATTACTGAGTGTAGTGAATACAGCCAGAGATGCTGTGAAACATCCTACAATGGATAGAAAGACCTCTGCAGCAAATTGTCCAGCCCAGAGTGTCACCAGTACCAACATGGATACTGAAAGGAACAAAAGCAGCCTGGATTGCCCCAGCTCTGTGGAGAAGCCAGCATGTCCACTCCGATGGCATCCTACCTGGAAGTCGTTAGGCTTCTCCCAGGGCAAGGGCACATCCTTAATTTGCCCACATGCTGACACTTGTGTGTGATAAATACCAATCACTCAGTTTGGTTTTGTTTTTTAAACAAGACGTGTAGCCCAGGCTTGCTTCAGACTTCCAATCTTCCAGCCTCGGCCTCCTGAGTGCTGGGATGATAGGCATCTACAACCATGCCACATACTTTTTTTTTTTTTTTTTCCCATTTTGGAGACAGGGTCTCATAAAGCCCTTGTTAGACTAGAAACAACTGTGTCTGTAGCCAGGATTGGCCTTGAGCCTCTAGAGCAGTGGTTCTCAACCTTCCTAATACTGAGACCCTTTAATACAGTTCCTCATGCTGTGGTGAGCCCCAACCATGAAGTTATTTTCATTACTACTTCGTAACTATTAATTTTGCCACTGTTATTTGGAGATAGAGGTTTGCCAAAGGGCTTTCGACCCACAGGTTGAGAACCGCTGCTCTGAATCTGTCTCCACTCCCCAGTGCTGGGGGATTACCATGCTCAGCTGATTCTATGGTTCTGGATGCAGTGATTTGAAAAACATATTTGAATACCTTTAAAAAAAAAAAGATTAAAAAAAGTGTAACATGTGTTCCACGAGCAGAAGTTAAACTGATGGCAGGAAGGCAGTGTGTTATTTAACTGAGTAAAATTGAAAGCCAGGGCCATCATTTAGCAGCATCTGCCCACATCTCTCTAATCAGACATTTCAGTAGTCAACTAGGGAACAGTGAGGAGCTAACTGGGAACAGTTAGTTCCAGTTAATTATAGGCTGCTAGGGTTTATATGTCCCTTGAAATATGTCCAGATAGGAAGGTTTCAGGGCCAGGCAAATGCCCTGTTTACAGATACGTCCTTTTCAAGTTCATGGTATAAACATAGCTGGGAGGTGATGGCAGGGCTCATTTGTTTCTTCTCTTCCAGCTGCACAGATGTCCTGATCTCTCTGACTTCCAGCAAAAAATGGCTAGCATTCTAACCTACAACGAACAGCTGCTGAAGGAGAAAGAAGCTCTAAGTGAAGAATTAAGCAGCTGCGCTGATAAGGTAGTAAGAACAACAGGCGTTCTCATCATTGTGGACGGTGAACTGCAGCAAGCATTTCCAGGGCTGTGGCCTCTGGGCTTCCTGTACTAGACCAAAGTTGTAGATGGAGTTATGTGACCTAGACTTAGTGAAGTTGAGATCATGGCATTGTCCCACTTAATACATCGTGATGCTATCTGGAAAATAATATGTAAAGCACTATGCTACATAATAGAAATATGGCTTTTATCCTCTGAGGTCTATTTCATAGACAAACACTTTTTTTTGTTCCTATTATATTTTCACGAGCGATAGGAAGATGTTACATTCTTTACTCCACCTACCTCGTAGGCATTCTTTATTTTCCTGACACAGTACACTCTTGAGATTTCCAATTGCCTTTCAGCCCACTTTCCGCCCCAAAATAGGAGACACTAGGGGGGAAAACAAAAAAGGAAAACCAAATAAGGAAGAGAAGCCTGATTAAGTTAGACAGAGCTAGGAAAACCTTACCTCTCACACCCTCCCTGGCCCGCTCCTCAGGGCAGACAGGCTGGTTCTTGATAGTGGTAGTGGAAACTGTAAACTGGGTCTGGATTTGCTTACAAAAAATGCCCCTCCTTCTTCCCTTCCTGAAACAGTTGGCAAAATCAAGCCTTTTAGAGAACAAAATTGCAACAATGAAGCAGGAACAGAGGACTTGGGAGCAGCAGAGTGAAAGCTTAAAGTCACAGCTGGTGACGTCCCAGGAAAAGGTGTGTGGATAGTTCACGCTGCATCTCCCGCTGCATCTCCGTAATTAATATTGTCTAGTATTTCTAGTACTTTGGCTTGCTCAGAAAGGCCCAGAATATTCCAGGTGAGACTGGCCTAAGTGGCCTCAGAATGATGGCATGGGACCTCACTTGAGACATCTTTGCAGTATGACAAAATAACTTAAAACAGTGTGTCCATCGAAACCCATTGGCTGAGAGCTTGCTTACCAGAAAGGTTTAAGAGCAAGACTTAAGGAGAACTGCTTGTTGGTAACAGGACAGGACTTGTAAATCAAGCATGTGTCCACTTACACTGGAAGCCTGCCCTTTACAAATTTAACATGAATTGAAATACAATTGAATTCTGCAAATAGAAATTATTATTTTCAACCAAGAGGTTCTTTTTACAAAGCAGGACCTCAGACTCAAATGTAATTATTTCTCAAGACTCTCTGCAGGTGTGGTTGGCAGTGACCCACTGGTTTTCCTCAGTTCTGTCCTCCAGCCCCTGGCAGTCAATTACATCATATCAGCGGTACCTGGCTTTATCTTTTTCCTAAGAATAACTTAACATCCTGTAACTATATGTAACATCTTGAGTTTCCACTGAATTTCTGGAAAGAGAACTGGATGTAGCAAATTGTAACAGAGGGGGCCCTGGCATTCTCTCGTTTATTCTTTCCTGGACATTCAAGAAGTGAGAATTTTTGTGTCACCGAATACAATTGCTCTTACCATGCAGGTTCAGAATTTAGAAGATGTCCTGCAGAATGTAAATCTTCAGATGTCCCAGATTCAATCGGACCTCCAAGTGACCCAGCAGGAGAAGGAGGCTTTAAAACAGGAAGTGATCTCTTTACGCAGACAGCTTCAGAATGCTGGTGACAAGGTTCTTGTTCTTTTTCTTTTTATGTAATTATGCTAGAAATTATTTTAGTTTATGATTTGATTGGTTTTGCATATATGTATCATGATTTGTTTTTTACAAATAGGTTGTATAGCCACAACCAGGAGCAAACAGTAATAACATTTCTGTTGTCCCCTCCAGTTGATAACCCCAGGGACCCACTTTTGTACAGTCTGCCACCATAGGTCAGGAACTTCATATAAATGGAATTATAGGGTACTTTTTTTTTTTTTTAGACCAAAGAAGCTAAAAGACTCTGAATTGAATTTTATAATAATAAAACCAGAGCATTTTCAAAGTTTAAATAAGAACATGCATGGGAATCTACAAGACCAGCCAAGAAAAACATTAAGAGAAATTAAGCTAGGAACACCCATCTACGGGGGTGGGGGGGTGGGGGGTGATAAAGCTACAGAAAAGGAAACCTCTAGCCTAAGACAATGGTGCTGACTTAGAAGGCAGGTCACCACTGCCAAATGGTTTACCTCTGTGGTAACAGCAAGTCTAGGAAAAGCTGCTTAAAAATAGTTGGCTGGCCTTCCGGGAGCTGTTAAAAACACATCTCATTTTAAGTACCACAGAGCTGCTGAAGGTGTACGCACATCATTAGCAACATTCCAAATGTCTGGTAGATGTTACAGTTTTGTTCTATAATAAAAATAGGCCCTGATTCAGTTTTGTTTTTTTTTTTTTTTTTTTCTGATGGTTGATAATACTTAAAGAAAAAGGTAGTTATTTCAATGTTAAAAATACATAAGGGCTGACCTTTTTTTTATCAAACCTTTCAAACTTTCTTTTCTTTTTCATATTTGACTTAAAAGGTAGAAAGCTTATCTAGCTGTGTTACCTTTTTAATTTTTTTGAAGTTATTTTTAGGATTAAAAAAAAAACTCACTTTGGTGACTTAAAGCATATTTCTGAATTCAGGCCTCAGTTACTAGGACAATATGTGCTTTGGAGTCTAAAAAGGGACGTGCTTGCCTGTGAGAAAGCCAGGTGGCTTTAGCCTGTGGAAGCATGCAGTTGCAGTACCTCTGAGTCCCCTGTCTTATGTTAATCAAAAGAGTTTTGCCTGGGTTCAAAGAGGGCTTCCCAAGAAGGAGGCAACTTTGAGACCACCAACTTCTAGACACTTGAGTGCTTTGTAGACCAGGTCAGAGGCCTTCTGTCAGATTTTCTATTGAAGTCGACCGGCCTATTTTGCCAATGACCACTGTGAACCTTAAAAAAAAAAAAACCAAGGATACCATTTTCTTTATATCTGTATCTATATACACATAAGCTTGAAAAGTGTTTGCTAAGACTTGTCATTCGACAAACAGGAAACCTGTCTCAAGACAGAGGTGACCGTCAATTTGCCAGTAAGTTTTAACTCTGCAATTTTCTCTTAAGGACTGGATCTCAGAAACAGCCATCCATCTCTCAGGGCTCCATGACCAACAGAAAAGGCTCTCCTGGGACAAGCTGGATCATCTCATGAATGAGGAGCCACAGCTGCTTTGTGAAGAGAGCAAGAGGCTCCAGACTTTGGTGCAGAGCACCAAAGCAGACCTCACACACTCCCGAGAGAAGGTAACTCAAAAGTTGTGTGTTATTGGGAGTGGCTGATTAGACATGAAAACAAACTGTTGGATGTGGTCCAAACAGTTCTTAGGTATAGACTTGAGTATTCTGTGGTGACACTTATTTTAAGAATGAATAATTTTTCATTTACTTCTATACAAATTTATCTTTATACATTTAGACTATTTTCATTTTATATTGGCAGTTCTATACCAGAATAAATCTGTGGCTTTAACTCTCATATTAAAAGTATAGAGTCATGGAAACTATGACATTCATATATTCCTCATTCAAAGTGGTTAGATGCCCAGACCAATAATAACGAAATGGCAAAGTCAGACTCAGATCTTATGCATCTGGCTAACCCTTTATAGGAGAAAACTTGGTGCCCCTTCTTAGAAACTCAGCATTTCAAGGTTAGAACAACTTTTTAAAGTCTGTGATAACCACACAGCTACCCTTGTTCACTGCTATTGTCAACCACTTAACCTTCATCAGCACCTCTGCTGTGAAATTCTCCCAAGAATCACTGACACTGCAGTGGGAATAGGACAACCACAGTCCCCACCCTCCTGGAATTTAGCATATGTAGATGCATACATGGGTCCAGCAGCAGCAGTCTCAAACAGGGTCAGTAGGACTTGCACCCCAGCCACCTCTAAAACCCGGGACTGCTGCCCCCATTTGCCTCATAGCTCCATCCCACTCATTCGTGGCTTCTGGAAGCTTGGCTGGCCCAGAAGTCCCTTCTCATCTGTCTTGAGTTTGTTAGCTCAACCAGATTTATTTAGAAAGGATGTTTAGAAATAATTAAAAAAAAAAAAAAAGAAAAGAAAAGAAAAGAAAAGAAAGAAACAAAGAAAAAGTAGGCTTCAAGAATTAAAAGAGTCCAGGGGCTGGAGAGATGGCTCAGTGGTTAAGAGCACTGACTGCTCTTCAGAAGGACCTGGGTTCAATTCCCAGCACCCACACAGCAGCTCACAACTGTCTAACTGTAGTTCCACAGGACCTAACATTCATGGCAAAACACCAAGTGCACATATAATTAGATAAATAAATTTTAAAAATACAAAACAACAAAAAAGAATTTGAGTCCATGTCTTGCTATGTTGCCCAGGTTGATTTAAACATTTGAGTTCAAATGATCCCCAACCTCAGTCTCCCTGGTAACTGGAATCACACTCCTCTACCCACTTGCTCAGCCAAAAAAAAAAAAGTGTTTTTCAAACCATGGAACCCAAGTAGTAAATAAAAGCATTCCTCCTTTGCTGTTTGTTTTCCTGGCTGGATATATAAGCACTTCTTCCTCTTACATTGTTTTTTGCTAGGTCCATCAACTGGAATCCAACCTTCTTCCCATCAAACATCAGAAACAACTCCACCAGTCCTATACTGTGAAACCCATAGAACAGGAGAAAATGACTTTAAAGAGAGAGTGTGAACAGTCTCAGAGAGAACAATCTCCTACTAGTAGGAAGGTGGGTTTTTCAAGTGTAACCACACACCTGTGTTCTGACAAGTGAGCCCCCAAAGTCTGCTTCTCTCCTGCTTAGTTATTGGCCATTCTGCTCTTTATTAAACCAATTACAGTGACACATCTTCACACACCATAGACAAATAATCTGCAGCAGAGAGCTGTGTGATTTTGAAAAGCTTCTCTGAGGGAACTAAGAAGCTGGAAAATTCCTTACCTCTCAAATAATGTTTGATAAGTATTTAGAAACAACTATACATCTAAACTAGAATTTCTTTAGAAAACCACAAGGAAAAGCTTTTTATATTTTCTCTTACTTATTAAATGGGTAAGAGCAAAGATAAAATTTCTGAAAAATTATTATAAAGCATTAAAGAGGGACAAAGATTAGTAATCCTAGATAATATAAGAGTGTATGTGTAGAAAGCTGGGGTAAGGCTAACTCAAGGGGAGTGGAAAAGCTGTATTTTCTTAGTATATTTTCCAAGTATGTACTTAGGACTGATTGTGCACACTGTAGGGCAATGTGTATTTCTTGCAGTGGATGGCAGGGAAGTTTAAAGCCTTAGAAAAATCTGCCCTTTGTGAGATGTGGTGGTGGAATCCAGATTGCTTAAATGCCATCTGTATATTTGTTTTCCTTGCTGAATTATCTTGGCTTTCTTCCAAGATTAAAGATTTTTTTAAACATAAATTCATCAAAATAAAAGACAAACTCATGTGTTTTTTTTCTTTTTCTAAAGTGGTGTTTTTTGTTTTGTATTTGCTTGTATACAGGTCAGTCAGATGAGTTCCCTTGAGCGAGAATTAGAAACACTTCATTTGGAAAATGAAGGCCTGAGGGAGAAACAGGTGAGACTGGATGAGCAGCTAATGGAGGTAAGTTTGAGTAAATGGCCTTACCTGTGGAGAGCACCTATGAGCCATTTATTAGGAGGGCTAGACATGGCATTGCATTCCTGTCATGAAAGTCTAATTGCCAGGCTTAATTCTTGGGTCTATCTTCTCAAAATGAACAGATGTGTTTGCTTAGTTACAGTCATAGATGCCTGTACTGCTTTGCAGAATAAAAAATAACTTTAGCCCCAAATGTAAAGACTGGTATACATTTTTAAATGTGGATCACAGGGACGCTGCCTGATACCGTGTGAGGGGCCCGAGCATTCTTGTCATTGGTGTATATGTAAAAGTTTCCTTGACATGTCCTATTCTTACAGTGTTTATGATGTAATCACTCTCTGCCCACCTGTTCAGATGCATGTGAAGATTTGAGAACATCTGTATTTAGTTTTCTTTCAGCAACTGCCATCTTAGGCAGATAGAGCTCAGTGGTAGAGCACTTGCCTTGCATGGTGAAGCATTGGATTGGATTCTCAGTGATCAAAAAGCAAACAGTGTCCATGGCTTATGGCTACACTTGTACAACTGACAAATGTTAAGCTGATTTGGAAAACTCACCACTGTGTCTGTATTGGGTCCTAGAAACCACAGCATGCTTTCATATAGTATTAGGGGATATGAGCAAATGTACAGATCTCAGCAAGTGAAGACTTCATTGAGATGCTTTGCCGTAGATAGATGAGAAGCTAATCTAACATGAAATGAACTATAAAATCTGTATAAGGAAGCATCCATAGAATTTGTCTTTCTATGGTCTTAAAATACTGTGTGCACACATTTTTGTTTTTTTAAAGGCAGAATTATAGGAAGAAAGGATGGAGAGAGGGAGGGAAGAAGGGAAGGAGAGAAGGAAGGAAGATATTGAAATACTTATCATTTATTTATTATTATTTTGATTTTTCAGGACAGGGTTTCTCTGTGTAGTCCTGGCTATCCTGGAAATCACTCCTTAGACCAGGCTATCCTTAGACTCAGAGATCTGCCTGCCTCTGCCTCCTAAGTGCTCAGGTTAAAGGCCTGGCAAAGTATTTCCTTTATAAAGGTGGCTTTAATGCTTTGATATGGGCAAACATATCACACTGACATTTAAATGATCCAGTCTGAGGTTTATGACAATTTTATGTTCTCTAGTTTATCTGCTAAGGGGGGATTGGTGAAACTATAAATAGTGAAACCCAAACTGTTTTCTGACAGTGTGTAATAAGTGTATTCAAAACTGTGAGTTCAGCCTGTGCTTTAATGTAGTTATGCTTCTCTGATGAAATAATTATAGATTCTAACCAGTCTATCTGAAGCTGAGCTCTGTGTGTCTGGTAAAAAGCTGAAAGGTGACAGGGTGTCTGCACTCACTGCTGGGCTCTGTCCAGTGGTCTACCAGTAAGCCGGTTCTTCACCTCTTTATCCTAGCCTGGGAAGCCCCCTTCTTACAGGCCCCTGTTCCTATTATTAACCGTCATCAGCCATTTCCTGCCATTCTTTTTCCCTAGCAGTAAATATTTGCTGATAAGGAAAGTAAGTGTCCCTGGCACCGGGAACTGATCAAGGAAAAAGCATGAAGTTAAACACTGAGGAGAACTCTTCCAGTGAACTCTCTTTAGGAAGCAAGACTGAGTTTTAACCTACAGTTACACAGACTGGGTCTTTTTTTTTTTTTTTCTCCTTTACTTTTCTGAGACAGGATCTAGCCATGTAACCCCGGCTGTCCTTGAACTTACAGTCCCTCTGCTTGAGTCTCCTGAGCGCTGGTCCTTCAGACTCACAGCACCACAGCTAGTTCCAGATTGGATTTTTAACAGCTCTTTTGAGATAATTCATATACTATACAGTTCACATATTTAAATTATATAGGTGTACTTGGGGTGTGTTTTTTACTTCTTAAACCTTGGAGACATGGATATAGCAACTTTGCAACTTTACCATTTTCAAGTTTCCAACCCAATGGGTTTAATTAAATTCAATGGTTCTAAAACATTTCATCACTCCAAACTCTAACCCTTAAGCTTATTAACCATTCTTGCCACCAGCCTGTTGGGTTGAATTGCAGTACAATTGTATGGGGGTGGCACACAGTGGCTTTCATACTGCCTTTGTACTCACCTGAGGGACCCATGTATTCCTTCCTCGCTGCCACGTGGCAGGTTGGAGGAGTGGTGAGCAAACACGGAAGTGTTCCTTTATCAGCATCCTTGGAGCCAGGGACTTATCTGATACGCATACTTCCTCGGGAGAAGTCTCCCCCATCTCTACAGACTAGTTTTAAGGGTCCAGTGTAATTAAAGACTACAAATTAGTAGATTGGGAAATGAAATGATTTTAGCTTAAAGCTGACTCCCATTCCTGGGCTTTTTCAACAATTTAGTAGTTAAATATTCAGTAAGCACTTTATTTTGAATACTCAAAAAAGATCCACAGGCTACCTTTGCAGCCCTTTGTCCGCCCTATCACTTGGCAGTCCACAGTTTAAAGGGTTGGACAAAAAGTGCTTTTCTCCTGTGTGTCCATGTGACAAAGGATTTAACCTCAGATCTGGTGCTTCCTAGATCTGGGTATGGGTAAAGCTAGCAAGTTCACAACCAACTAGTAGAGGAGGGTGCAGTTGCAGAATTACAGCTATAAGGCCCTTTACTATAAAACTGACATGCAGCAGACGGTGACATCGAATTGCTTGCACACTATTCATGTGCATAATATGCCTTCTTTTTGTAACTTGTACTTTTCTTACTCTTCCTGTAACTCCTGTAATTTTCTCTTTGTTTTTGTTTCGTCTGTGGCTAACCTCTACCTAGCACTCAGTGGTTGGAAGTAGCAGAGAAGGGTGCAGTTCTGTGCCTGAGCTAGTGTGTGAAGGTAGAACATTTTCCTCCAGTGAACCTTCATAGCATGGGAGCGTCTTGATGTGTCCATCCAGCCATTTCTGTTGATTATGACAATTGACACGTACTTGGGCAAGAGCCAGTATTCATTTTTCATTTCACTTTCATTGGAATATGTCGGTTTACTTAAGGATTTCCCTTAGCATTTAAAGCAGTATGAAGAACACTATCCCACTGATAGAAACTTATGGGATCATAATCTATCATATTCTTTATCCATAAATGTTATATTTTCACATCTGCTACTAATAATAATATTTCAAAATGGACAATGACCCACCTCAGATTTAGAGTTAAGAAAATGGATAGTGGCTCTGAAACTTCATAACATTTAATTACAGTTGAGTATAAAAGTCCAATCCCTTCCCACAAGCCCAGAGGTGCTTCCTCCCCAGTTTACTTCTTGCTCATGTGTGTTGCATGCCTCCCATTGGGCCCTGTGGCTGCTGAATGTGCTGACAGATGAAAAGTAGCATGTTTCGTTGACTAAAATGTATTGTTTTCAACTTCTTAAATTTGATTGGCATGTTGATACACTGTTTCCTTGTTGTTTTCAACAAATACTTTTATTCCAGTTCTGGGGTCTTCTGGCCTATGACCTTATGTCCCACACTTGCCTACCTTGTTGCTATTTAAGGACACAGTAACACATATATAAAACTAAGATAGGTTGAAATAATTTTGGACACATTTTTTTTTTTAATGTTAATTTGGGGTCAAGATTTGGAGCCAGTGAGTAGTTACCTTTAAGAATCTTCAAGGATAGTAAGGAAAATGGGGAAAACTTAAAGCCAAGCCACCCTCTCCACATTCCCTGTTCCTATATCACTTTTAAATAAAAGGAAAAAGGGCAGCTGGATGTTCTAGAATTAAAAACTTAGATATGAATTAGCTGTGTATCTCATGCCCTTATAGTCACTCAGGAGTGATGACAGTCTATTCTTTTAAGTTTTAAAAATTTTAAGAAAGCCTGGTCACACAATGTATGATCTCCAGACAACAGCAAAGGGGCTCTTCCCATGAACTTCCACGGGGCTTTGTCCTGTTTCTAAGTGAGCAGGGGCTAGGAGGCCATGAAGGGGTTCCGGGCTCAGTGCCCCCAGCTTGGCACCTTCCTTGGCAGAAGGCCGTGTACTGACCAAGCTTTGTCCTTATCCTTCAGATGCAGCCCCTGAGGTCCACTGTGATGCTTAGCCCATCCTCTCACTGGGATCTGCAGCTGCTGCAGCAGCAAACCTGCCCGGTGGTGCCCAGGGAACAGTTTCTGCAGCTTCAACAGCAGCTGCTGCAGGCAGAACGGAGAAGCCAGAACCTGCAGGAGGAGCTTGATAATAGGACTTCCGAGACCAACACACCACAGGTACAGAGTGCTTTTCCTCCACAGAAAACCAAACCATCCCTTTTACTTTACCTTCATTAGAAAAATAGGCCGGTCAAAAGGAGGGGACCAGAGCTATGTCTCCCACCGTTCTGCCCACAGAACTGCAGCCCAGCATTGGCTTTGGTTTTACAGTTTCCTTGCAAGCTCTCTGCTTATGAGTCAGGCAGTTGAGCAAGCATGCTAGGTCTCCTTTGCACACCAGTATATGGCAAAGGACGAAGGTGACTTGTACATAGTTGGCCTAATATTCTTGTCTGGTACCCAAAATGTCACAAACTCAATCCTCAGGTAGGGATCTCTGCTAATAGACATCCTCAGTGTTGCTGTACAGTGTGGCCTGCCAAGGTCTGTGGGAATCCCAGGTGGGGATTTTTATAACTAAGGATGTAGAATGTGCAGTTAGTGCTGTGTTCCTAGTTGTATAGTTCACGTCGCTCATCATTTGAAAGAATCAGCTTTGAAAAACTACTTAAGCTCCAAATGGTTGTTTTCTCTTTAGGGCTTTACACATAGTCTTCAGTTTTTCAGAAATTTCCTCTTTGTTCTTACCCATTTAATTAAGTCATAGTAAGGGTAAGAGTAAAAAATGAAAGGCTCTTCTTTTTTTGTTTATGTCTAAGTTGATGCTTTCTAGTTTAGATATACTCATGTCCCAGTTCATCTTTGATTAGGAATTTCCCCCTTTCTTGATCACATTAGCCCTCCCCGAGGCCACTCTGCTTTCTCCTCTTATTAGTAGATAGCTGTGCTGTCCAATTCTGTCACTCATTCTTCTTACCAAACCTTCAAAAAGTCTTTTTATTTATGTGCTTTAAAACTTTGTTTTCCAGAGCTTTCCATGTACCACCCCTACCTCCCTCAATATTAGAGTCAGCTTTATAAATTAAGTCTGCTATGCTGGGTTGTTAAATGTTCCAACTCTCCACAGAGTACTTAGAATTCTCGGTATTACAATGAAATTTTAAAACAAAGAAATTGCTATGTTTGAGTATGAAAAGGAAGCTGCACTTTTTCATTGTGTAATTGAAATCTGAAACCTTGGCCTCTGTTTTTGAAAAGACCTTCTAGTTGTTTGGCAAAGATGTGTTCATTGCTCTTCCATATACACTGGTTTTAAAGTATGCTTTTCATAATCTGCCCATCAATATTAGAGAATTCAAAAACAAATGTATTGTGCCAATAACTCCAATATTAGACAAGAACTATTTAGAAAAAGAAAGAAAGAAAGAAAGAAAGAAAAGAAGGAAGGAAGGAAGGAAGGGAGAAGGAAGGAAGGAAGGAAAGAAAGAAAGAGAAATCCTTCAGTCAGAGGAAAGAGTGGACTATTTATTATTTGCAGTAGAGTGGCCTCCAGGCTTTCTCCTTTTCTGGTTTCTGAACTGACTCTAATTTTAAGAATACTGCACATCACACCATCTGCACAGTGCCTGTGTGTGCAGTGTGGGGTTTCATCTGTCTTTGTGTTGCTTTGCTTGCACATGTAGTGTGACTGCATGTGCTTCTGAGAACGTGTTTGCATTGTAAGTGTGTGCACTTAGACTCCTCTAGAAATAAGCCATGCTCTGGATACCAGGGTGAAGTATACCCCTTGCCTTCTTTCTCTAGGCCTTGCTACCGGAGCAGCGAGCAGTACACACAGACTCCTGCAGAAGGATTGGGCACCTCTGAAAACTGGGCTGCTAATGATGCCATTTGTTACCATGACAGTCTCCAACGCTCACCCACACACACGCACATGCACACACACACCCCACACAAACATGAGCTGGGGCATGTTGGAATCAAGTGCTTCCTTAAACTATGCAGCTGCCATTTCCACTGTTTTGCCTTCACAGTATTGTCTCTTATTTATGTAGACATGATAGACTGAATCGGTCACAAACTTCAGCTTGTTACAAACCAGTTTATTTAAATGGTTTAAAGAGTGGATTGAAGATTCTTGAAGGGATAGAGTCTATATATTTTCTCATTCCATATGTTGTAATTATTTTTAAAAGATGGTACTACTTTTATATATGGAATTTGAAGAAAATCAGGGTTATTTATACAGTTTTGTGTAAGATGTACCATACTTTTTGACAGAAAAAAAGGAAAACTATGATGCAACAATAAAATAAAATTTAAATTATGTGACTGTCTTCTTTGATTTTTTTTTTCTGCCTTCTCCTTTGCAAATCTTGGTGTTCTTTAAATTATCTGATACTGTGATTTTCTATTTTGCTTCTTTGAAATAAGCATTATTTATTATGTATAAACATTAAAAAGCCATTAAACCTTTTTAAAGTATAGCCTTATTTAAAAAGCCGGACATCCAAGGCCCTATTTACACATATTTACTTTGTATATTAAGCTTTACCAACTACAGATTTTGTCTTCAAATTGGCCACATGATTTAGTGCTATTATTTAAATCCAAGCAAATAATGGGTTTCAACTCATGTTTGAGCATCCTACATTCTTTTCCAAAGATGCCTTTTAAGGAACATTTAGCTGTCACCCAATTGTTAACATCTGAATCACAATGATAATAATTAGTAATACTTAAGGCCCTGAAGCGTCTTCTGAAGTTTGAAGCCCCTGGTGGAGGTACTTTTGTACGTGAGGGTATGGGCAGTCTTGTCTCTCTTGAGGTCACTTTGCTTCCTAAACTTGTGTTCTTCCTGTCCTATGGTTTTATCTGGGCTGGATGTCTGAGATTTTTCACTTCTGATCTGCTCTGATGATAAATGCATCCTCTAGTGAGATGTTTGCTTCACATTGACAAGTAACTGGGAAACAGATGGGGGGGAGGGGGACCGGCAGGAAGAAGCTGATTATTATGAAGGAGAAACTAAGCTTTGATGGTCACCAGGCATTTCAAAGGAAAAATGAGAGGCATGTGTTGCCAGCTGATTGGAAACATTAGGCAACTCCAAACAAACCCAGTGTTTGCAATGTGCAGAGTATTGCAGGGACCCACTTCACAGTGAAATGGCGGTCACCTGCTTTGATTTACCTCGTATACCCACTGTAGGAGTGCACATAGGCATTAATTATGGGTTTAAGAATTTGTATCAGGGGACGGTGGCATGACAGGTAAGAGTTTTTGGTTTTTTCTTTGACTCCTCTGTGATCGGGCTACATTTCTAATGTGTTCAACAGTGCCCCGAGCTCTCGTTTCATTAAAAATCCATCCTTCCAGTTACGAATGCAAAGCATTGGCTGTGCTTTCTCTGGGTCCTTATGGAGAGTAACTATCAGGAGCTCAAGTTGAGCATGATTTTCAAGTGACCATACTTTCTCTCCCTGTCCTCCTTAGGGAAGCCAGGAACACCTTGTAAATCTCATGGAAGAGCGAATGATAGAGGTTGAACAAAAACTGAGGCTGGTTAAAAGACTTCTTCAAGAGAAAGTGGATCAGCTCAAAGAACAAGTAAGTCCACTTTATCACCTCTACCTGTCCTGACAGTCCAGTTTTTATGGGTGTATAGTGTGTATACCTGTGTATATCTGTGTGTGTGCATGTGTGCGCTTTTGCATCTGTGTATCTGTGTGTGTACGTGTGTGTATGTGTAACTGTGTATATCTGAGTGTGCATGGTGCACGTGTATGCATGTGTGCACATTTGCATCTGTGTATCTGTTTGTACATGTATGTGTGTACATATATGTGTGTGTGCGCGCGCGTGTGTGCGTGTGTGTGTGTGTGTGTGTGTGTGTGTGTGTGCGTGTGCGTGTGTGCACAAGCACCAGAGACCAACCTCAAGTGTTATTCATCAGGAGCTATCCACCTTGTTTTTGAGAGGACCTGGGTATCTCTCATCAGGATAGTCCTGTGTCTGCCTCAACACAAGGCTTACCAGTGTGCACAGTCACTGTACTCGGGCTGTTTATGTGTGTGCTAGGGATCCAAATCAGGCCCCCATGCTTGCAAGGCACTCATTTTACCAGCTGAGCTGTCTCTTCAGTCCTGATGTTTCAGACCTAACTCCAGATTTTGTATCTTTTTTGTTGTTGTAGGGTTTTTTGTTTGTTTGTTTCCTTTGCTTTGCTTTGTTATTGTTCTTGCTTGAAACAGGGCCTTTTGCAGCCCTGGATGTCCTAGGATTATTTCTGTAGGCCAGACTGGTCTCAATTTCACAGAGATCTTCCTGCTTTTGCCTCCCAAGTGCTGGGATTAAAGACATACAACATCACCACCCAGCCTGATTCTGTATCCTTCTATTACTGTTAATTTGTGTTGTTAAGAAAAGCTAATTCTGTGGATAATAACTAGAGAACTCAGGAATCACTTTCTTTTAAGCTTCAAAATATGAATTTTGCATTCTATATTTTTTCCTAAAACTCTGTTGAGGCCTATTTGTCTACAGTTTTATGAATGTATATTTGCTAGCCATGCTCATATCCAAAGTGTTCCTAATGAAGTTCAGTGACTCAAACTACATTCTTACAGACTGTTTCCATCCAAGATATTACATACACATCTCTAAATAAACAGAAAATGATATATTCACTTTTAAAACTTGGGTAATAATGGAACTTTGTCTTTCCTGTCCCCAGAGGCTTGTGACAACCTCCAAAGGTACCTTAGGGCTGGTGAAATGGCTCAGTGGGTAAAGGTGTTTGCCACCATGCCTGACAACCTGAGTTCAGTGCCCAGAACCCACCTGGTAGAATGAAGGCACCAGTCCCCAGAAGTGGTCCTCTGACTTCTCTTCCATTAGCCTTAAACTAGAGAGCAGTTAACACAAGTGGAGTAATATGCTTCCGGTTCTGCCCTAGCTCTGCAAGAATACAAAAACAGACGCCATGGTGAAGGATTTATATGTTGAAAACGCCCAATTGTTGAAAGCTCTGGAAATGACTGAACAGCGGCAGAAAACAGCAGAGAAGAAAAATTACCTCCTAGAGGAGAAGATCGCCAGCCTCAGCACCATCGTCAGGAACCTGGCACCAGTACCACTGGCTTCTACACCTCCTTTGAGGTCATAGCCATACCAAAGGATGCACTGATATTTGTGCACTGACGTTCATGGAACACTTCCATCCGTACCCCGAACCCTCTAAAAAACTCTCAGTGGCTTTCACTCAAGCCTCCCCTAAGTCTGCTCTGCCAGCAATGGAACTGAAGTCTCCAAATGGTTGCTTACAGGAACCCCACAAATCTCATATTTCACTATTGAAATTACTCATGAGAATTAAAGTAACTTTTTAACATACTTCTAAAGTATGTTCTGGATAGCTACCAAGAAGGAAAATAATTTAAGAACCCCGTTTTTAAAGGTTTTTGATTGTTATTATCTGTACATACAATCCAGATTCCTTTTAAATTTGGGATCTAACTAGAATGATTATTATATTATTATAATCTTTATTTTTGAAAACATTTAAGTAAGTACTGATAGTTTTGTTTTTTTGAATGAGTTGGCCGACTGCAGTTCTGCTTGAAGAAGACTTGGCTAGTAGCTAGCCACTGAGGTCAGAAAAGTCCAAGTTTTGTAGAATTCTGGCTTCTGGTGCCTGTTCTTGCTGCTCTTGCTATATAATAGATCCAGCGCTGATTTTCTTAACTGTATTCTTTATTTAGGAGAAAGTTTTACTTTATTTAAATGTCCCTTTATCCTCTTGAAGCTTTTATTTGGGACTTTGTGTTCTTAAAAATGGCTAAACCTGAATTTTTAAACATTTGAACTCTGGGGAGACCACTGAACAGCCCGCTTTGGAGTAAAAAGCCACTCCTGGGGGAAGATTACATGGCGCATCATGGGCGTGACTGCCTCTCTCCCAAGCCTTGGTGTTCATGGACATAGCTTTGAGTTTGCATCAAGAGCTCAGGGAACAATGTCTAAACTGTCTTCCTGAACTACTTACTGCCCAGCCTCTCTGAGAACTGGAGATGTATAAACCATGTGACCTTATTTGTCTCATGTATTAACAGCCATAGAATTTTTATTTCTGTATTTTTAGTGCACTTAATGGTCTGTAAAGGCCTTGACTTTATAGAGTTTAAAACCTCTTCAATTTGTAGAAGAGTTTTACTGTTTGTTTAAATCAGGTCAGGCTTTCCATGCTTCTGACCTTTTGATACCTCACATCTGAACGTATGAATTGCATACTGTGGAGAACATTGGCATGCATTGCCATGCCATTGGAGGTGAAGGAGCAATAATGGGACTTTGCATTTGTTCTTGAGGTCTGGGTTTAAAGACCAATAAACCTTTTAAGTACACACACACACACAAACACAGGGTGGTGGAGGACTTGCCAAGTATAGGACACTACCAAAGCTGTTCTCAACCACCTTTGTGTTTCCATGGGGAGAGAAACTAAAGAGTTTCACTTTATTAGAGGTACAAGAGAAAAGTAAACCATTGCTTATGGGCAGGAACACAGGACAAGTCAAATAGGCTAAGAGGCCATGTGATGTGAGGAAATCTCAAGTCATTTCCATTGCAACTCTTTGGGAATCTTTAGGACCCAGTTATCTAGTCCTGCAGCCCAGGGACCCACTCCACAGTGCTCTGACACAGCACACTGTCTGTGGCCCAATAGTTTACACTGGTTTTGCCCTACTGCTACTATCAAAAAGTTCTGCTTTCCCACCAGGTAAAGAATCCTTCCCTATTATTATCAAACTAAATATCTGGCATCTGGTATTACCTCTCCTCTAAATCATTCTCCTCAACTATTTATATGGCCTTAACTTTATTTAGCAGAAAATATCTTCACTTGAAGTTGTGGATAGGCCTAGGCTAAGATGAAGTGCTAATGTGAGATGCTTCAGGTTCGCAAGGTCAATGCCACTGAACTGAACAACAAGCATATTTCTCCAATGTTGGCTTGGCATGGGGCCATGTTTGTTGTGCTTTTTTATTTTTTATTTTTATATTATGAAAAGTGTAGGTTAGTGTTTGTTATACTTATACATTTGTATTTTATGTGTACATAAAGTGATGTACAATGACTGTAAATAGAACTTTTTGAAAGTTTGAGAGTAGAGTGCATTTAGAATTATTTTGCCCAACATCAAAATGCTGCTCTAGTAAAGTGTTAATTTCTTGTATTACCCCGCTTATTAAATGGGGGGTCAATATGACCCCCATAGATATCCTATAAATAACCTATAGATAACTTAAATTTATATATTTGAATAGCAGTTTATATTTGAGAGACCATTTAGAGCAGGAGTTTGGCTGGCCATTGGAATAGCTTAAAGCTTTAAAGGCAGCAGATGTAAATACTAGAATTATGTGTAGTTTACTTTCAGACTTGGGAATGGTTCTCTCCCACATCACAAGTTATGTGTTTTATGATCATTTGCCTACTTTTTTTTAAAGCACTGGTTTTAAAACTTTATTTAAGAACCGTTCTATAAGGGTAATGAGACAATTCTGGACTCACTCCGAAACCTCCATTGTCCTGTTTTCTACTTTTGAAAGCACGTTCTCTCCCGCACCAGGGTGGGAAAGGGCTTCATCTAAAGGCCTTTACTCTTAAAGTCAAGTTTGTAATGGGAGAGAAGTAGGAGGTGCGGTTTAAAATGAACCTCAGAATTTTCATTGGTTTTTCTAAAACTTTAATTCCATCTAAGTCATGGTAAATGTGAATCCCTCCTTGAAGCATCCATGTGCTGTTTGTGTATTTGGCCATCAGCATGTTTTATATAACTAGATCATGAAATCATAGACTTTAAGGAAGACATCTTACAGGTCTAGTGTTTTGGTAAAAACAGCCAGGGTTTTTGTATAAATAAATCATGGAGTCACAGACTTTGGGTATAGGAAGATGTCTTATGGGTCTAGTGTTTCAGCAATATCAATATTCAGGACAGGTATTGTTTTGAGAAAAAAATTAAAAGAAATGACTAAGTCCTCTTGAGAAACTTTTTTTAACATGTAGAAAATGAATTTGTGGTTTCCCTTTTTGCTTTGCTGAGTAAAAAAGAAGGAAAACTCGCTGCATCCCACTCAAGGGAGTGCTCTCAAGTACAGTATTAAGCAAGTGCTGTTCTGAACAGATTACCTGCAAATGTATAGCACTCCCGTGAGTCGTTAAGCAATGCCAGAAGCCAGGTCTAAGCCTGGTCACCAAAGCACTTGTGCTAGGAAGCTAATGCATCATGGCTGGCCCTGTTTGAACATCTCTGCACTATGAAGACCTGGATCCTGGTATCTAGACAGCCAATTCATAGCAAGTTAAAGTTGCCTTTTTGTTTGTTCATTTGCTTGTTTGCTTTTTTAGTTTTTTGAATGGAAAAAAAGTAAGTTTATTCTCCTTGTGAGAATATTACCACAGCACGATGAAAAGGAATACTAGTTTTATAAAAAAAAAAACAAAAAACTTGAGTGTATCTAGAGCTCATCTCCAGAATTGTATCAGATAAAGATTAATGTGAATATGTTTATATCAGGTTTGTACATTTCTTTTTAGCCATTCTATCCCAGAAAGATTTTTAATGTGAGCTTAAAATGTAAATAAATAATTTTACAAACTCTGGTTTTCTGTGTCTTGGAGTTTTGATGATCAGTTTCAATGTTTATCATTAGCCTTTTAAGTAAAACCATCAAAATATTGCAGGAAACACAGTCTACAAATGCAGAATCGAGGTCCTACTCTGCCTGCTGGCCCACAAACATCATTTTTAAGATTCCCCCAGGGGACTTAAAGAAAATGGTTCAGTGGTTAAGAATGTTTCTATTCTTCAGAGGACCTGGATTCAGTCCCCAGCTCCTACATCAGACAGCTCACAAATGCCTGTTACTCCAGCACCAGGGGATCCATCGCCCTCTTGTGGCCTCCAGGAGCACATGCATGCATGTGGTGCACATAAACTCATGGCAGGTGTTCATACACATAAATTAAGCAAATCTTTAAAAAGTCCCTCCCCCCGCAGGTGATTTGTTGTGAACTAGAGCACAGAGACTCATTCCCTTCCTGTCAAAGAAGTAGTAACAGTCATACCAGCCAGCTTGTGGTGTTTGTGTTCTGTAGCAGTGGACAGTTCACACACAATCTTAACTTAGCCTGAGGCAAGGCCCTGCTTGGCATCTGGGATGCTTCAGAGATGAGCTGTGCCACTTTGACATTCATGGGTGAGTAACTAAGACTTCCTTAATTGAGATTCTCACAACTGATGATATAGGCTGTATTAGAGACCCCAAAAAGTGAACTTAGAACACTGCCCAGCATTTGGGAGGCAGAGGCAATGGATCTCTGTGCATTCAAAGACAGCCTTGTCTATACAGAGAATTTCGGGCTGGCCAGGGCTACATAGAGAAACCCTATTTTCAAAAACAAAAATCAAGACAAAAAAACACCAAACACCAAAATGCAGAGTGGAAATGTTGGCTGACCTAGACCCATCTCAGAGGCCCTGTTTTATTCACTGTCAAAACTTTTCTATCACCTTCATACTCAGTGCTTTTATGAGGCAGTGTCCTAGCCCTCAGGGTCAGTTGACAGGGACCCTGAAGGAGAGACTGAGAATGAGTGGTCAAGAGACTCGAGAGATGGAGACAAGACAGTATTCTGATCAAGTCTCGTTTAATGAATATAACTGTAGGTTTTAAGTAGTGGGGAAATGAGGGAATGGGCCAAAGGGAGGATGTGAGAGATGCAGGTGCTCTGCTATAAGATAAGTTGCTATACGATAAGTCTACAGCTGCGACTCTTTCAGGGTCAGGCTGCATCATATGTTTAACAGGAGAACAGTCATAGGGGAATGAAAAATTACCAGTGTGTTAGTATATAAGAGAGTAGTAGGAAAGATGGCTGTTAAGATGCTAACTTTGCTCTGGGGTTCCCCACAAGGCAGGAACTATTTATCCCCATTTAACATATGGGAAAAATTGAAGCTCATAAAATTGAGTCAAGACTATCCTGCCTGCAAATAGAGAAGTCAATATTCAAGACCCAGCGGGAGATGGGATGAAGATGAGACGCTACAAGCTCTTATGTTCTGTATGGCTGGCCTGTGCCTCATCTCCTTCCTGCACTTCTTTAAGACCTTATCCTATGTCACCTTTCCCAGAGAACTGGCCTCCCTCTGTCCTAACCTTGTATCCAGCTCCTTCTGGAACAATGCCCCTGTCACTC